CAGTCCTCAGTGGCAGGAATTATAAAGGCATTAATAAAGGGATATTTCCTGAAATAAAAGGATTTGCAATTCAGCATCAAAGTTTTTTGTTACTCAAGGTTTTTAGGTAGGCCAATGAGTCTTTTACAACATGGCTAATGTGAAAATGTACTTTGCATGACTTCATATGTATAAGGGGTGTCATATTTCTTGCCTTTTCAATGGGCAGGAAAGGAAGCTTAGAAAGAGGGAGAAAATTTGAAACTGAAAATAAAAATAAAAAATTAAAGGAAAAAAAATTACATCCCATGGCACCAGGTACAACAATTCTAAATATATAGCATGTCTTCAAGATATGCGTACTGAGGAAGAAGACAGACAGAGACATGAGGGATTTCAATTTTGTTCTAAGGAAGACTTTCATGACGACGGAGGTTGGGGTAGAGGCAAAGAAGCTGAAAAAGCCTTTGGAGAAATTTTATAGGAAGATGAATAGTTAATTGAGGCCTGCTTCCTTCAAGGTAAGGGAAAGAATCACAACTGGATAACCTCTCAAAGTCCTTCCCCCCAAGGCTAATCAGTAAGCCCATCAATATTTAACAGTATTTTAGTACAATTTATTTCCTTTGTAATCTTATGTATTTTATTTTAATGTATTTAAAAACATTTATCCTGAGAAGGGGTCCATAGGCTTAACTAGAATGCCAGAGGGGTCTATGACACATACATACACACACACACACACACACACAGAGAAGACCCTCTGGCTCTAAAGTAATCTTTCTTAGACAAATCCCTTAGTAGTAGTAACCTTTATAATAATGATGATGATAACAACAGGAATGATTACTGGCATTTATCTAGACCTTTAAGGCTTTCACAAAGCTTTATATAGACTATTTCCTTTGAGTTTCACAACTCTGTAAGGTAGGTACTTAAGGCAATATTATTCCCTTTTTAAGAGGAGGGATTTGAAGCTCACGTGACTTGTCCACTGTTGCATTGAACTTTGGTCTGCCCAACTCCAAGTCTAGTTTGCTAGTTTTCTGGGGGCAGATACAGTGGATAGAGTGCCCAGCCTGGAGTCAGGAAGACTCATCTTCCAGAGTTCAGATCCGGCCTCAGACATTTACTGGCTGTGTGACTCTGGGCAAGTTACTTAACCCTGTTTGCCTCAGTATTCCTCATCTGTAAAATGAGCTGGAGAAGGAAATGGCAAACCACTCCAGTGTCTCTGCCACAAAATCCCAAATGGGGTTTTGAAAGAGTAGGACATAACTGGAACAACTCAATAACCTTCTGGCCTGACTAACAGCCTTGGTGGAGGGATTTTGAGAGGTTAGAGTTGGATTCCTTGCCTTTAAGCAAGACTTAGCTATCCCAGTAAGATGGGAATTCATCTTCTTTTTCAATTCCTCTGAAGTCTTTTTCAGTTTTTTTGCTCCTTTTCCAACCTCCACCATTGTCATGAAAGCTTTCCTTAGGACAAAATTGAAATCCTGTCTGTTCTCTTCCTCAGTATACATATCTAGTCACTACTTCGTGCTGTCTGTTTCTCCATAAAATCCAACACCAGAGAAATGCTTTGCCATGTTAATGTCAAATAATAATGTCTTTTAGTGGTAAGATGATAAATTTCCAAATTGGAAGATACTTTCTACACAATTTGTACATCTTAGGAGAGGGGATAAGGAACTCAAGATGACTAGTGTTTTGCATGTGAATTAATATTTCACTGAATAAATTCACTTTAAAAAGATTCTAAATACTTTGCAGGTGTGAAAAATGATCTTTTATGAAAGATCATTATATTGAAGATTCAGAACTTCTCCCAGCCCTCTTCTTTCAAAGTCCTGACTTTAAGTGCAGTTTTTCTTCAGAAGGACATTTCTGATAATGGGATTACATTGAGTCTCCTTATCCAAGTCAAAACCCAACCCAAGGGCAGAAGTAATTTAATCTAAAGTACAGTAGGTCCATTGTGTTCTCTTCAAGCTTGGTGGGGCTGGGGGGAAGAGACAGATTCTTCTGTCTAGATAGCCCAAGGCTGGGACTGGTCTGGCATGGTTGGAGGGTGGTCTGATAGAGGAGATATTTCCTCTGTCCAGAGATGAAATGATATTAGTCCCTGTTGAAAGGATATATAAACTGTGCACCCAAACCCCACAATAAGTCCAGTTTAGATTCCCTTAGGGCATCCAGTCATGGACTGCAACTCCCATACAATGCATGACCACCTATTTTAAGAGAAATAAAACATGGACTCAGAAACTGTAACCCTGTTTGTCTTTCTTAGACCAAACTCTCAGAGGTTGGCATTGGTAAAAATGTCAAAGAATGATTATGAAGCCCTGGCAAAAAACTGAAGACCAAAGGGTATACAAGTTGTACTGCTGATCTCCCCTACCACAAAAACTAGAAAAACACCAGTCTGGACCAGAGACTGTTCCTGCTTCACTGACTGGCCTGTCAGACAGTGCTTCATATCCACCCACCCCAGACATCTCAGACCGTCTTGCCATCCACCCTGTTGCTGCTCCCTCTCCCAAACTCCTCTCTCCCCTGCTTTCTACTTCTTGTTCTGGGAACAGAAATCAAGCCAATACTGTCATTTATTTCTTCTGCAAAGGGCATGACAATTGATTGCCCTATGGTACCACTCAACATTACTGTGACTTCCTCATTTCCTGGTCACCAGTCTTCTATATGGGTTGCATTCCTCAATGAAAGCTCCTTAAAAACAGAGATTTCTTTACTCTTGTTTTTGAAGTCACAGAATACTAGCAAAGTGTCTGGCACACGGGTACTTATTTGATGTTTATCATTCATTCATTCATTCATCACACACAGTAAATGCTTAATAAATGCTTGTTGAATTGAATAACCTGATGGAACTTTCCCATGTATCATTTTATTATATGGTTAATGGTGGCACTGGAATTAGAACTGAAATTCCCTGTTAATGATGCCTCTGAGAAAGGTAAATAAATAGCTCCCTTGATTACCATTATAAAGTTTTTTAAAAAATCGCACCTTTGATTTCAATAGTGTAGAGAGCTCACCTTGAGGAACTCCTTCTGCCAATACAGACTGGCTTTTGCTCTGCAATTTATACTCTTAGAAAGCTGCCTGGGGGCACAAAGAAAGGTTAAGTGATTTGTCCATGGTCAAACAGCCAATATGTGCCAAATGTTGGATTTGAACTGAGGTCTTCGTTAAACTCAAGTCAGGTCTCTATCCATTATGATAGGCTGCCTCTTGCTACAATATTAGTCCTAAAAAAATGACTATTTCAGTTTATGTTTTTAGAGCCAGTTATGATTAGAGGCTACTTATTGTTCTATGTGATCTGAGCAGCATTGAAAGATTCCCACCTAAAAAACCTTTCCACACTGACCTCCCCTGAACATGGCCTAAAATTCTTCCAATTAGACTCACTTCCCAAAGGCAAGATCTTGTTTCCAAAGGACCCGTTATAATGCATGAAGATTTTTCTGTAAAACTGAGACATTAAGCCAGGAAAACTCTGGCGTGAATGCTGAAGACTAGCCATCCAGGGCCCACAGAAATAAAAGATGGACCCACCTTCCCACTCTCATCCCATCCTCCTTGGGCTTCCTGTTACCATCTTTGTTCTAGATGTTAGGAAATATATTTCTGTCTTTCTGACTAGGACCCAAAGTAGTGGGATGAGAATTGAGACAGTATAGCGTAATCAGAGGATTTTAAAGTTAGAAAGGATTTTAGCAATTATCTAGTCTAGGGATTCCTCATTATTTTTGTCATGGGACCCCTTTGGCAGAAGATGAAACTTAGGGCCTGCTTCTCAAAATAATGTTTTTAAATACAGAAAATGCATTTGGTGCATTGTAAACAGTGCAGTAAGGGAATTAGAGTTTGTTTCCTCTTGGTCCTGTGAACTTGAAAATCTAAAAAGGAAATAAGCATTTATTAAGCACCTACTATGTGCTGGGCACTGTGCTAAGTAAGCGCTTTTTACAAATTATCTCACAACATCCCTGCAAAGTAGGTGCTATTATTATTCTCATTTTACAGTTGAGGAAACTGAATCAAACAAGTGCCCCTAATTATTAGGATATATTTCTTTGTTGAAAGGAAAGAGCTTAAGTTCAATTTAACCAACAGTCTCCTCTTTCAAAGAAATTTATCTGAACTCAGAATAATAAACTATACTTTAAATACATTAGTATATTTTCATAACTAGAATTAAAATTAAATTGCTGCTACTTTTTAGCAAAAATCATTGCCACCACCCTCCTTCCCCCTCACCCCCTAACACCCCCCACACTGAGGCAAGACATTATTAAATGTTTCCATAAGCAAATCAACAATTAGACTAATTTTAGATCCTAGTTCTACCACTTACTATCTTTCTGGGTTTGGGAAAATTCATATAATCACTCTGGACCACAGTTTTTCCATCTGTAAAAGGAAGACTTTGGACTAGATTCAATTGAACAACAAACACTTATTCATACTTAAATGGCCTCTGTGTTCCTTTCCAGTTGCAAGTCTATGATCCTGTGAACTAGAGTTTGTGTTTTCTTTCCTACTTCAGCAAAAGAGTGCAATAAATGTCTAAGATGATGAATATGGCCAAATGAAAGATTCATTGTCCAATGTGAAGATCATTTATCTAGAGTGAGAAACTGAAGGCAAAACAGGATTGAATAGCCATTCTTTTTTTCATATTATCTGTTAGCACTAAACTGAACATCTCAAGAAGGGGATTTACCCCTTCCTTATTTTTCTTCTTCTGAATACAGAGAAAACAAAACCCCTCTTATGGCTCTCCCTTTATGTCCCTCCCTCACATCCCCACCAACAAGTCTCCATTTATTCTCGGCTTTATTTTACCAGACACTAATATTACAATGTGTTCAGAAGGCTACCTAATCAACATTTTGAAGATGACAATGATATCTAAATAATAGCAGTTGACATTTATGAAGCCTTTAAGATTGACAAAGAACTTGAGATGTTAAAATGTGGATATCTACCCATTCCTGTGCCAGCTGGTGCAATTTCTCTTGAAAAGATTTCCAGTGCCTTCTTCTGTTTGTGTTGTACTGCAAGCCAGAGAACAACTTCTCGGGGGCCCTGTTTACAAATGTCAGAAATTACTGAGCAGGTCATCCAAGAAAGTTCCAATCACCACGGCATCCCACTCAAAGAAAATTGTTGCTATACTCTACTAAGTATAGATCCCTAGTTTGCAGGATTGTTATATTGTATGATTAATATAACAAAGGTAACAATTTCCTAAATAACACCTTTTGAATCCACAGAAATTAACCATATCTTAACAATAATGACAGCTAACAGTTACAATCATACTTTGAAGTTTACAGATCATTTTATATACATTGTTTTATTTGATCCTCACAATTCTTTAAGATAGGTACTATAGCTATGATTATTCCCATTTTACAGATCAGGCAACTAAGGCATAAAGAGATTTAAGTGATTTGCCCAGGGCCACACAGTTAAGCACTTGCAATAGAATTCACACCTTTATACCTTGAAACCTCACTCTGGCTGTAAAACAGGGATAACGTCACTTGTCTTCCCTATCCCACAGGGTTATTATTTTGAAAATAAAATTAAAACATTCCATTTTAGGTAATTTATCCAAATACACCTTCCACATCTGCTGATGAATTAAACCCTACCCAAATGTAAGTCATAATAATTTGAATAAAGTTGATAATTAAAGGCTCTTGCTTTTCACCTTTCCTTTCATATTTTGTTTTGGCTGTCTCTGCAGCCAATATGATAACCAATTTTACCTCACCCATTGTCTCTAAGATTTGATAATTAAGTAACCAGACCAAAACAAGGTACATGGAAACACTTAAAAACCAACTCAAAATGATTTATCTCCTTCCTTGAAGCATACTTTTTTTTTAAAGCTCCATCTCAACAAACTACATTAAGTTGGTTTCCAAGACATACTCTCAATGTAAATTACATACCCACTAATTACAGTCGTATAAATTACACCAATTAGAGTGCCTGGAAACTAAAAGAACACATATTTCTATGTAAAATAAAATATTTACACATTTACATCTGGTTCCTGTTTCTGGGTTTTATCAAGCATCAAATATTTCCCATACAGTTCTAAAGAGACCTTATGTTTACATCTGATCCTTCCAAAGTCCTTGTGTACAAAGTAACACACAAGAATCTCTTAACCTTTTGGTTACTATAATCAAATGAAAGGAATTTTAGATTCGTTCCCTTTATAAGCAAAATGTGTAACACGTCTGGGTCTTCTTAAATCAAAGTGCTCTAAAAATGAAATATTTTTAAAATATAGCCTTCTACAGAATAGAACATAGCTAGGTGCAAAATAGATGAAATAATCTGAAATGATATGATCTGTATTTGAATAGAGTAGGATGAAAAAGAAGGATTTATGAGAAAACAGAAAAGAACCGCATGGGATGAGAACATGAAGATGGGTTTCCATTTGTACCACTGGAACCTAGTACTGACACTGTTGAGAACAGAGCTATTGGAACAAAGTCTAACAAATGATTTCTTTGTTCTCTTCTACAACTTGATTAGTTATATTTCCATACTTTTAAGAGTTCAATTCATTTATTTTTAATTAGAAGCTTTTTATGTTTTAAAAAGTCACTTGATATTCAAATTAGCCTCTGATATTGATCTTCTTAGTGTTTTCCAAAGCACCTAGCCCATCTACAGGGAAGGCATTTGGTAGGCACCTGGTGAACAAATGAATGAATTCCTCTAGGCATCTTGTCAATTTTTTATTTCTTACTTCTAACTTGATGGAAATCTTCAAGATAAAAAGGAAATGAAATTAATTATTAGAGGGCTACTTTCATAAATATAACCTAGAAAAAATTCCTATATATGGACCTATGTGAATTTTGAAGCTTAAATTTTAAAAAATTTTAAGTCAATTAAAGATATAGAAATAAAGTTTATGAATGTTACCAGCTGCAATTTAAAAATAATAGCAGAGCAGAAGAATATGTGAAAACATAAAAGTTAATCTGGATATCCTACCACTGTTCCAATTCAATTCACCAAGTATTTATTGAGCACTTAAGGTATAGCAGGCACTGTGCTAGATGCTGGTCATATAAAAACAAAAATGAAACCAGGAATGTGCTGGCACCAGCTAGTAGGGCTCGTGAAAGTTGATTGTTAAATTTTCAATGTGAGTTTTTACACCTTGGAAATGGACAAATGCTACAAATCAAAACATGATTTATTGTTTTATTTATTTCTAGACTTAAGAAAGCGATGAAGAAAATGTTAATAATGCAGATTAAACTTAAGAGTATGCCATGCATACGCGCACACACACACACACACACACACGCACACACACACACACACATACATATATTTGAGATCCAGTTGTTAAAACTTTTCCAGCACATCTCTTCATGAAACCATCTCTACCCTCAAGGAGTTTACATTCTAATAGAAGAATACAAAATGTATGCAAGTAAGCACACTGTAAGGTAATGAAAGAGAACGTCCCAGACAAGTTGGTAAATACATTGAAACTCAATGGCTTCAATATAACAGTGGGAATAGGAAAAGATTTTTTAAAATGTGTGTGCATATATTGGAAAAGATCTTAGAGAGATTTTATAATAAGTACACTTATTGAACAAATGAACTGTTATCTGGAGTCTATAGGCATTTGAATGAAAGAAGCCATCCGCCCACGAGAAGCTCCCAAGGGCTCACGACAGTTGTTCTACTTTCATCTACTACATAGTGGTTTAATTCTACACTTGGCCTACCACAATCCATCTTCTCACCCCTTTCTCCTCACTGCCCCCGATGAATTAGATGTCATGGAAATGACAGTGAGGTTCTGGAAGCTGGCACCTCTAACTAAGATAAGCAATGTCAGTCCCATAGCATAGTACCTCTCACACCATTGGCATCCAGGTTCGTGAAGGCAGGTGTTAGCCCAGTGTCCCTCTTCTGCCCTGTCCACCCTTGGGACCTTTGCTTCTAGATGAGAAGGCAATTACAGGGTTAATTCCAGGACTTGTACAGGCAACAAGTTCCAGATTTCAAACAATATACAAGGGACTATCATGGGCCTGCCTGTACTGCTACTCGTGCTGTTAACCTCGCCATCGCCTGTACTGGTGCCAGGGTGTGGTCCCTTTGTACTCTAAGTCTTTTCTAAGCCAAGAGACCATTGCTGCAGATCCTGCCAATTATGCTAAATGTATTGGGCCAAGACTCAAAATGTGTTCTCTTCTGGCACAAGACGCACTGTGGGTTTTATGTATACAATCCAGCTTAACTTAAACAGCAGCATAGAGAAAGGAACAGGATGGATTGTATTTGTGTAGCACTTTGTGGGATTGTAAGTTGTTCCCCAACACATATACTCATCTTTTATTAACATCAATATTCTTCTGATAATGCTAAATGACTGCAAATTATAGAACACTAGAATATCTGAAGAACTAAGCCTACTGGTGACCCAGCAGAAGAATGGAGAGAAGTATGATGGGGGCCAGCAGGCTGTAGTGGATGATGTTCATGCAAGAGATGGCATGAAGAATATCATCAATGAAACATATGATCAGAAAAGGAGGCAGCCTTGTCATCTAGTGAGAGCAAAGGAGACAGATGGAGAACCTGAGGGCTACATTTGTGCCTATGGGATTTTAAAAAAAGTTGGAGGAAGGCATAGGGGCAGTTAGGTTGTACAGTGGCTAGAGCACTGGGCCTGGAGCCAGCAAGACTCATCTTCCTGAGTTCAAATGTGGCCTCAGACACTAGCTGTGTGACCTTGGGCAAGTCGCTTAACCCTGTTTGCCTTAGTTTTGTCATCTATAAAATGAACTGGAGAAGGAAATGGCAAACCACTCCAATAAGCCAAGAAAAACCCAAAAGAAGTCACAAAGAGTTGGACAAACTGAAAAAATGAGTAGGCGTTTAATAAATGTTTATTGAATGAATGAGAAGGACTATGCACAGAGCTTAACTGTGGTGATAAATGTAGCTTCTATGATCTCTTTCCTCTAATGACTGGAAATGTGCACGTAACTGGCAGGGATCTGAATGAAGTCTTAGTGTCTGCTCGTCTTTAGAATAGCAATCACCATAGTCACTACAGACTTGGAAAACATCAATATTTCAGGTAGAATTTTATCCCATTTCAATTTTAATGAAAATCACATATGTAAGATATAAGAGCCTGCCTAAAATCAGCCCCAATTATCTTATGCAATAAGAAGCTGAGAAGGAAAGAAAAGGCATAGGCAGGTAGGCAATATTCAAATTAAAACACACTTTTTAACAGAAATACAGACCAAAGATATTCATGCTACAAAAAAATAATGCTACAAAAGCTATTGCTGCAAATTCAAGGCTACTATAACAGTCAAGTGAATCTACATACACAACACTTTTATCCATGGAATTGATTCATTTTAGTCAATTAAACAGAAACAAGGAATGATTGCTATTGGTTCTATCAATGGACCTAGGACCCCATCAATGGGGGTACTTTATCGAATAATGCAGAGAATAATCTGAGTGCTACCAAGCATGTGAAGCGACTTACCCCACCTAGGCCAGCTTTTGCATGGGGCCCATATGTTTCTTCAGCTCCTAAAATCTGAATGTGAACGGCACTATAATCTTCCAAGCCCAGCTCTTCAAACATAAGGCGAGTTCTACCAAACAAAAAAAGTTCTCATTTTAAAAATACCAAAGAAACTATTGCAGAGCAGTATCCTCATCCCTTTGCTTGTGGTGCTTAATGAGGCCAGTAACCACGGTGAGTGACAGAGTCAGAGATGCCGCCCCATTTGGAGATACTTGGGAAGTCCATACCCCTCCTAATCCCATGAATTTCCATAGGTTCTTGCTATTTCTGGTGCCCCCCAAAAGTATAAACTTTCTGCCTCTGGCCCTGGTTCCTGGTTGGATTCACACTATTTCATCACTCAAAGATACTGGAGTGGCAACAGGACCAAGAAAAATAGTAAAATCAAGTATTCTGGCTGAAAGATGTCCACCAGATAACCTTCTGCCCCCTTGAAAATTGAAGATAAGGCTGGGGGGTGGGGGAGTTAAGGATAATCTATCAATCCATAGATAAATTTATTAAGTGTTTACTATGTGCCAGGCACTTTGCTACACCCAGGAGATACAAATAATCCCTGCTCTCAAAGAGTTTACATTCTGTGGGGGAGAGAAGTACATATAAAAATATACATAGCATGTATAAAGTTAATAAGTATGAACATATTGAAGTCATTAAATACAAGGACGTTTTGGAGCAAGGGCACCAGCAGTTGGGGGATAGAAAAGGCGTCTTGCAGAAGATGGTGCTTGAGCTGCATCTTAAATGAAGCAAGGGAGTTAAGAAGAGAGAGCATTCCAGGCATGTGTGGAATGGCCAGTGAAAAGTCAGAGAGACAAGAGGTGGGGTGTCATATGTCGAAGAACAATTTGCCTGGATCAAAGAGTGTGAGAGAGGAACTAATACCCAATGAGGTTGGAATGACAGGTTGGGCTCAGACTGTATAGGATTTTTTTTTTTTTAGGCAATTGGGGTTAAGTGACTTGCTCAGGGTCACACAGATAGTAAGTGTCAAGTGTTTGGTCTGAGGCCAGATTTGAACTCAGGTTCTCCTGACTTCAGGACTGGTGCTCTATCTACTGCGCCACCTAGCCACCCTCTGTATAGGATTTTAAAAGCTAACCAGAAGAGTTGGAAATCTATCCCAGATGCCATAGGAAGCCACTGGAGTTGATTAAATAGGGCAGTCACACGGTCAGAACTGTGTTTCAGGAAAACCACTTCAGTATCACTTTGTAGTACATGCTAAAGTAGGAAGAGATAAGGAAAGATGAATTAGGATGTTATTGCAATAACAAAGGTGAGAGGTGATGAGGACCTCAAATGTGTAAGTAAAAGAGATATCATGGAGGTAGTAATGGCAAGATTTGGCAACTGATTAGATACGTGGGATGAGTGAGACTGAAAAGTTGAGGATAATGGTGAGGTTGCCAACCTGGAAGACTGGACGGATGGGGATGCCTTTGACAGAATAGGTCAAATAGGTCAGCTTGGACAAGGAGAAGAGGAAACACAAAAAGTTCATTTTTAGATATGCTTTGTTTAACATGTCTCTGAGACAGCCCGTTTGAAATATGCAATTGAAAGAGGCAATTGGGATAAAGGACTGGCGTTGAGAAAAGAGACTAGGGCTAGATACTTAGGCATAGGAGTCATCTGCATAGCTAAACTCATGGGAGCTGATGCAGTCACCAAGAAAGAGAGTAGAACAAGACAAGAAGAGGGCCTAGGATAGGATCTAGTCAGAATAACTCCATAGCATTCTCTAAACATACATCCCATGGCATACAAATCAGGCTCCTTGAATTCTGTTAAGGAGATGGCATGGATGATTTATTAGCATTGATATGAGAAAGATCTCCTTGGTTATAAATGTGAGAGAATGGACTGTGTTACCACAGGAGATTGTGAAATGCCCATCTCTGAATACTCTTGAGGGAAATAAAATGGTTTTTGTGTAAATATAGCTCTGCTTTGAAACTTCAAGATAAACTAAATGACCCTTTTGGATTTCTTTGGCTGCTCCTAGAATTGTGTACAACCGTGCACCCATATTTTGTCTCGAAGAATGTGAACTCTTGGACTATGAGACGAAACATAGGTTTGTCTTCTCTATTGGGCTCATTCAACATAAAGGCTTCTGCTACATTAAATTTAAATGATCACCATTAAGTCAGGTGGTTTGATCTCCCAATTGGCTGAAGTAAAAGTAGTAGTAAAAAGACTCATGTCTCAAAATTTTATAGGGATGCCATGTTCCTTCATGCCAGAGTTTTAGAGTCAGAAGTGATCAGGCAGCTAGGTGGTCCAGGTGATAGAGACTTGGGCCTGAAGTCAGGAAGCCCTCTGTTCAGCTCTGACCTCAGATACTTGCTTTCAGATAATGCAGAAATACTAGCTGTGTGACTTTGGACAATTCAACCTCTGCCTCAGTTTCCTCAACTGTAATATGGAGATAATAACAGCACCTATCTCCCAGGGTTGCCAAGAAGATCAAATGAGATGTTATTTTTAAAGCACTTAGCCCAGTGCCTGGCACAAAAATAGATGATATGTAAATGCTAGCTATCATCATTAATTTTAAACAAACAAAAAAGAAAGAAAATGCATACCTCTGCATCAGACACCAACCTTCTCAAAATACTTTCAGCTGTCCGCCTTCCTTTTTCTGTGGCTCTCGGCCCTCCTATTGGACACACAGCAGTTGCTCTGAAACCATCCAGGTAAGAAGCACTTATCTATTGGCAAAATGTTATAAGATTAAGCCAAGGGACTTAATAATAAATATCTAATGGCAATAATAATAATAAGTAGCTAATAATAAAATATCACAGAATTGTAGTACAAAAGCATCTTTGGTTTATTCTAATAAAAAAAGAAATGTTTTCTCCTAAACAAACAGCGGGTCTCAAAGCTGGAAAATAGTGGCGTTGGGGGGATAAAGTATCTGGAAGACCATAAGCCTTAAGGGCCAATGTACCAGATTCTGAAAATAGCCATGTAAAGAAGAGCTAAGCCCCACACATGGAACTGATCTATTTGGAAAAGGGTCTACTCATCTGCAAAACAAAAATTAGGCACATAAAACTGCAGAGCTTCAAAGGCTTTTAGAGATTAGCTAGAAGATGATACAGACAAAGGCTACATTAAAAGTTAATTAACAGTTAAGCATTAATTTTTAAAATCCCATTTAGCTAACAGCAAAAACAAAAGAATAAAACCAAAAATTTATAGAATGTTTCCATCAATTAAAAAAAGTGAACACTAAGTCTGATTAACTTTACTGCTGAACTCTTGTTTTTTAACTTAGTAAAGGTTTTATATGTTCATTGCTTTTAAAGATCTAAGAAAATCAAGCTTTCCTCTTTACTTGGTCCAATTATGTCTACCACTTTGTAAATAATCTCATTACTTTACAAAAACCTTAATATACATTGATTAATTCATGTATTGCATATGCTGGTTGGAAAGGGCCTTTCAGATACACACACTATGACCACTATAGGGGTGTTATTGCTGAGTGTAAAAAAAATATTTCACAGACCAAGACACACATGAACATCTATCACTTAAACTAAATCGTAGAAAGCAATATTAGAGCTGAGGTTCCAGGTTGCAAATATTAAACTTAACTCTGCTCTATAATGATAGCAAAATCTTTACTCTAAGACAATCACACTGAACAAAGTCACAATATCCCTTGGAAGATATTGAAATTCTTTGGTGTTTATTATAAAGGTACTGAAGAGCAGTTAGTTCCAATTTCTCTAGAAGAAGGATACCTTTCATTGAAATGAAATCAATGAAATGGTTTTCCATTGTATCCTTAGTATATATTCAAGCTGATGAATGTTAGATGACAACAATTCAATTTAATTCAGTAAGCATTTATTAAACATTTACTACCAGGCACTGTGCTAGGCACGGGGGACGCAAATATAAAATGAAAAATAGCCCCTGCCTTATTTATAATGAATTAGAGATATGCCCATTTAAATGGTGATTTGTGCACTACCTAGGACATTTGGGCCCTCGAAATGTATTTTTGCAATGATGGTTTCATATTGGGAAATGCATAGACATACATAATCGTTACACATCAAAGTTGTCCAAGTCAATTTTTTAAAAGTCTCTATGTCTGTTCCCTCTCCTTGTTAGTTTCTACATGAGAAAGAATATGATCAACCTTTTATGTTCAACATTGTTTCTTTCATTTTTATTATCATTCTTAAGTTATTATTTGATGGAGCCATTACTTTTTCTACCTCTGGTTATATTCACAAATGGAATTAAAATAAGAAAACCCATGTATTACATAGTATTATAAAACAATGCTTATTATTAAACCTTATGGGGGTTTTTGCATTCTTTTTATCAACTTTAAAAATTAAACATCATTTTCAATATAAAAAATTGGATATTCTCTGTACCACTATTTCTCAACCCACCATAATTGCCTTCTCTTGGATTCTTGCTTCATTCTTGAATCATGGAAACATGGTTGTGTAGGCTAAAATAAACAAACTGTTCATTTCCACACCCCCAGTCCTTGCCAAACCAAAAAAAAAAAAAAGTAAGAAAAAGAAACCCTGCACTCAGTAAGGCTATGTGTATGCTATGGGGATTGCCAAAAGAACTGAGTAATTCACCAACAGTTTCAGTCTATTATGATGCCCAACTGTGGAGAAAACAGCAAAGGGTAATTTCACTCAGAAGGACATTCTCTAGAGTAGTATATTAGGCAATGGTAACAGAGGATGGAAACCATTTGTATCCAAAGACCCAGCCTACATCACCAGTTTTCTCTTACACCATTCCCCTTTACAGAGCAGTCTAATTGTACTATCTCTAATTTCCAAAACACACTATGGGCTTTCGCAACTTACATGCACTTGTTTTAAATTGTTTCCTATACCAGGAATGTCTTCTAACTTCACCTATAGGTAATGTGACACAACATTGGGCTCAAAGTATTCCAAGTCAAATTTTACCAATATATAAAGACATCTATCTAATGGCCTTTGCAAACTTAAAAAAATTAATTTACTCAAATCTAATACATAATCTCCATTGCATTGTAAGAGAATTGGTCTGTGTGAGCATTATCATTTAAATTCCTGACAAAATAAAAAAAAAGTAAAAAGAAAGGAACCTTATAAGATGCAGAAGGAGCTGATCCCTTCGCTCCATGGATTTGCACAGCCCCACCTTCAATACCTAGATATTGAAAAGAAAAACCCAGCATTTATTTTACACAGAAACTCTTTTAAACAAAGAAGTATGCATTCTTTTTAGAGGCCATTGTTAAAATAAGCCCATACTAAAAATAAGAATAAATGTCATTAGTATGTTCATATAACTGATTTTTTTTTTTTTTTACTCTTCTATAAGCATTTACATTAGAGGCTCAGACATTATCAGTGAGGTCTAGACAGGAGCTTTCATTTTTGGGTACAGTCATATCCTTGCAATGACCTAAGGGTGTGCTGGTAAATGTTTACCAACTGGCTCTCTGGGGGAAAAAAAGTACATCCAACATACTTTGAAGTTTAATTTATATTATTCACATTTTCTCCATCACTTTCTCAAGTCTTGATGATCAACCAAACAATAAATCAAGGCCTGATTTGTAGCATTTGCCATTTTCCAAGCTGTAAATGATCACACTGAAAATTTAGCATTTGGCTCTTGGGAGCCAGTATGAGCTGTCTCCAGCATACACAGGTTTGGACCAATCTTTGGTCCTTCCTACAGTGAATTGAAACAGAGTTAAGAACTTTAAACATCTTTTAGTGAGTAGTCTCCATTACAGCTAGGTCCCAACTATTATGAATAATGAATACTGTGAAGTGGTCACATTAGTCATATTTGCATACTTATCTTCATTGATTAGAACCAACAACCATATTTTGCACAATTATAACTCCAACTAGTGCAAATTTGAATACATGCAACTACTTCATGGGATTCAATAGTCACACTAATCAAGACTAAGCTGTATTTTTATGTAAGCCAGGCATTATTAATCAATCTCTCTTTGTGTTAAATAATACCTAAAATACCATAGAGGGTGATGTCAAATAGCATAAAAATATTTGATCTTAGATAAATAAGTGGCACTCTATTGTACTCTGGGTCATATAATAGCCACACCTTGCATAGCTATTTTTCTAAAGAGAAAAAAAAGTTTCAGTTCACTCTTATTGTTTCCTATTCGATTAAAATAATAGTTCACCCTGGCTTACTGGGTGCTATATAGAATAATCATTAATAAATCATTTCCATCATTCTCAAAATAATAGTCACAGAAGCAATGTCTTTCTGATTCTAAGTAGTTTAATCTAAAGATTAAATCTGATCTAAAGGTTACATCAAGAGCATTGATGAGAACACTTTAAAAAGTTCTGGTTGAAAAGTTCCATTGAGAAATGTCAGGGTCATTTCCTATTAGATTCCCCAAGAAGGAGTAAAGGCTGCCCCAAACAATTTCAGTGTCGAGGTTACACAATTGCAATACTACTAATGGTCTTAACTTTTGACTTTAAGCTCCAATTTACATTCTCTCTCTTTCTCCCTTTCACCCCTCTACTTTCCCTCATTTCTCTCACTTCAAAACTTCAAGGCACTGTCATTTCCTTAGAGTAGGTAACCCCTTTACCAACAGAGATTGCAAACACTCTGTGCCTTAGAAGACAATTTTCTTAAGTTGATGTGGCCAAAAAATTTGCCACCCTGTAGCCAACCAGGCAATGAGTCTTTCCAAATTTAGCTAGGCTGGTCAGCCTATGACACAAATTCAGTTTGTGACTGGGTGCATAGGCAAAACCTTTCTAGCCTGGTAGGACTTTTCTGAGCTTGCATTCCTCTAACAATCTTTGAAAACCCGGGGTCACTTCCAAATCATCATAAAGGCATCAGGGTAGGACTTCAGTGAAGATTTTACATATATTAAGCATTTAAAATACATAAACATATATGTACCAATCTTCATATCTATGTACATTAGCAGCTTATGTGGAAAAGATCTACAGATTTGTATGTTTACATGTCAAGGTGTACATATGTTCATATATGTATGTAAATACAGAAACATTCTATATATTTTAAATCAAGATGTCCATCAAACTGAAGCAAAGCAGCACCTCTTAGTTCAGATTTGAATTACATCCGAACAGCCGGGAGTACAATAAAATCAGTAATATAAACAATGGCAAGAGATAGCCTGCCCTGTTGTCTCTGTTGGACATGCCAAAGTGCTTGCAACTAAAAATATTTGAGAAATCTGTCTATTTTCCATCTGTTATATTTCTCAAGGATAATTGAAAGTACATGTGAAAGTTCGTTGTAAGTTCAATTATGTCATATCAGGTCATTTATGAGCCAAAAGTTCATTGAGAGGTTATTTCCTAAAAAAGAGGTGGGGTGGGGGGAGAAGGGGGAGGGGGGGAGAGAGAGAGAGAGAGAGAGAGAGAGAGAGAGAGAGAGAGAGAGAGAGAGAGACTTATTAAGGCTATTTTATGTTGTCTTTTTGATGATTGCATTTTAAAAAGTTTATTAATTAAAGAATTTTTATCAATTATTTTAAACTGTCTTACGCTATGCTTAACAGCAATAATATAAATGATCAAGTCCTTCGTAAGCAAGACTTCTAATTTGGTGTGGTTTGGAAGAGTACAGAGAATGTTGTATTTTTTTCACATAATCTTATTACTGGGCTTAAATGACATTTTTTTTTAACAAAATGATAAAACAATGATTAACAGACAAAATGAGGAAAAAGCCTGGGAGACAACTACTAATTTAATAACGATAGATTATTTTCCGTGAAATTTAACTAAAAGAAGCCAAAACCTAAATTCAAAATCAAGAATGCTATTTTTAACTCTCAGCTTGTTTTGTGCACAAGGAAGCAGGGCTGTGCCCAAAATAAGGTAGTAAGGAAAGTTAAATTTAGTTGGCAACAAAAATATTGAATTGACAAAGTTAAGTCAAATAGGGAAAATGAGTTAAATGTTTTCAATCATTGAAGCCAAAATAAATATTTTATTTCAGGCTGGCACCACCACAGTTTTGCCCAAACAGTCCCACTCACCATTTTCAAGGTACAGAACATCCCTTGGTGAAAACAGTTGATTCTGAACAAAATTTTTCATGTTCATAGAATGAAAACATGTTCTTTAAGACGCAGCAAGCTATACGGTGAAAGAAGTGATAACTTGGCCATACGAATGCCTAGGTCTGAATGCTGGCTCAGATGCCTAAAGCCAGTTGGCTCTGTATGTGCTACTTAACCTTTCTTAGCCCTAATATTCTCATTTGCAGAATGGAGACAATAATTTTTATGTTAGTTACCTCATAGGGATGTTGTGAGACTCAAACATGATGGATGCCTATGAAGCATTTTGTAAACTAACGTGCTAAAGAAATATTAAGTTATGGGGCAACCAGGTAGCACAATGGATAAAGCACTGGCCTTAGGCTCAGAAGAACCTAAGTTCAAATCCAGCCTCAAACATTTACTAGCTATGTGACCTTGGGCAAGTCACTTAATTCTGAATACATTAAAAAAAAAAAGAAATATCAGTTATCACTATTATAAAATACACATGCCCCTTAGTGCAGCAGCCTAGAGTCATATATTGGTGCTAGACTTGAATATCTGTGGACCTAGGTTCAAATCCCAACTTGGGCACTTAATACTTGGGTGACCGTCACTGAAGCTTCAATTTTCCCACCTGTAAAGTGAGGATGACAGTAGCTGTAATACCTAAGTCACAGGGTTGGCAAAATGCTCCAGTGAGATGATGTATGTAACATGTTTTGCAAACTTTAAAATGTTATATAAATGCTAGTTATTATTATTGGTACTTAGGAAAGATTTTCAAAATGCCTCTTTATAAGAAGATTTTAATTACAACCTTTATTAGCACAGTGACTTGCAAGTAATAGGCACTTAATACATGTTTTTTGAACCTAATCGAAGGTTCTTCTGTCAGATGAGTAGTTCCTCCATTTTTTTGTAAGCTTCTATCAACCATTTTCACCAAAGAATTATATCAGTCTATACTTCTGTCTTTGAATTCAACAGAATTTTACTTTCATGTCAATATTGTTTATCTTGCCAATGGTTATAAATTACTAATTTATTTTTAAATATCTCCTAATAACTCCACAGTAAGTAGTAACATGTATCATTGATTTGTAGTTTTTCTTTTTTTCCCAAGTCACTAATTAAACGTAAAATATGATCACACCTGCCAATAATTCCATAATATTTCCAGCTATTAACTCATTCAGGTTCTGTCTTTTTATTCATTCCAAAGGACAGAACAGAGATCAATGGGCAAAGATTACAAAGTGGCCAACTTAGTCTTGATGTCAGTAATAATTTTTAGTAATTAAAGTTGTCCCAAAATGAATTGGGTCACCTCAAGAGCAGGAGAATTCCCTCTCCTGGAGTTCTGTAAGCAGAAGCTGAATGACCCGTTGTGGTAGTGGGGATTGAAATGGAAGAGTGAGGATTCCTTTTGGGCATGCGTGGGACTAGGTGGCTTGCTGAGATCCTTTCTGAGTCTCAGATTTTATGAGTCTGCAGATGTTTGACTAAGTTCCTTCTCAAGACCTGAGGAACTTCATTTATTCCCTCCTAACAACTCTCTGACTTATACAATAATTATCTGCGACCAAAGTTGTCAAGTTTTGAAATTGTGCTTGGAGAAAATGGACTTCAATTTGATAAATAACTAAAATTTTATCTGAATATACATATTCTAGTGGAAATATCCATCAGACTATTTCTATATCTATCTCCCCCAACTCCACACCAAACTTCACCAAAACATATTTCCATATTTCTCTCTTTTAGCCATTATGATCACTGACCTGGAATTTCAGTAATAGTGACTTGAGAAAAGTCACAAGTCACATCTGGCAAGAGGTAGACTTGAGGATTTCCTATTTCATACACCAATTGTTCAGCCACAGTACCAAAAGAGACAAGGCCTCCTGTGGCGGGCGGCTTGGAGAGAACAAATTGTCCATCAGGAGAACATTCCACTATGGGAAATCCTATGTTGTGCCTAAGGAGTAAACAAAGAAAACCTTTTATAATTCGAACATCTAGAGAGAAAAGCAGAAGAAAGAGAACATTTTTATGTAAAATAAAATGTCAGGGTGGCATAGTGGATAAAATTTTATAGTTGGGACCAGAAAGACTTTGGATTCAGATCCTACCATGGGCACCTTGGCTGTGTTGACTGTGAACAAATCATTTAACTTCTCTATACTTCAGTTTACTCATCATAAAGTGAGGATAACGATACTTAGAGAAACAATCTCTTATAAGTTTGTTTTGAGCATGTATCCAAAATGCTTTGCAAACCTAAAATACTATATACATGTATATTATTACTGTTATAATAATAATAATAACAATTATTATCATACAATAAATAAAGATCAATACTCACACTTTTGAGACCTGTGATTTCATTAGTGTGAATGCTCCCTCCACCAAGACAGACCCCAACTCCTCTAAACCTTATTAAATAGTATTCATGAGCATCTGTGGCCAAATTTCTGGTGATGACCCTCTCCAAAATGGTCTCCAGATGACAATCATCACTAGGTTCAGAGCAGAAGTTTTTTCAGCTTGGGAAGATTCTCAAGAGCTTGTGCTGTGCTCCTGTAACGTCTGAGAACCCAAGGTCTCTCTCAGAGATCATTAGGCATTGGAGATGGGCTTCAGTGGAAGACACTGTATAGTAGTAAATCATTATTACACACTGTAAGAGTGGCAGCCCAAAGTAGAAGATGGACAGCTAGCCACAGAGTCTGGAAGACCTGGGTTCAAGTCCTGCTCTAGTCTGACACATACTGACAGTGTGACCCTGGCAAGTGACTTATGTTTTGGGCAATTCCCTAAGGCTACACTTGAAGAGGAGGGGTCAACCTTCATTGGCAAAAGGAGTTCCCTACACCAATAAAGTCACATGTCTAGTCCAATTCCAGCTCATTCTAAGCCATTTTCACATTTTATGTTTTGCCATGTTTGATTATATTGCTACTTACTCAGCACCCTGAAACACTGAAAGTAGGATGCTCTTGGGACCCAAGGAGAAAAACCAAATCCCAAAGGTTGGGGTTGATGGTTATTTGAAATGTACCTCCACAGAATTCCACTGGGAAGGGAAGAGGGTTGGACGTGAAGGGATCAAGTTCTTCCTAAAGTGAAAGTGAAGGGAAATCCTGGCCTGGAATTAGGTATTTAAAATCAGGGATGACAAGGCAGATGCTTGCAACCCTCACAGAGAATCAGAAGAGAGTCATGAAGATGGAAGACCAGGCCTGAGAGAGACTGGTTTCCACTGCCCTTTTCAAACTCCAGTGACACTCACGCTGCTTCCTCTCCTCTCCTCTAAACACCCTTCCCTCCCTTAATCTGTATGTAGACTCAGAATTTGGGGGACTGTTTTATATTTGTACAGGAGTAATGCAAAGCAAGGGGGAGAGATAGAGAGAGATCTTTAGAGGGAGGTGAGCCTCAAATGAATCCACTCAGGTGCGTTTGTCTAAAGATACATTCTAAAATTAGCCTAAGAGCATCACTGCTGGCTGCTTTGTGTTGTATAAGGAATAATTCACTGATTACTAATCATATTATATAAATGTTGAGTTCTGGAGCTTATTTTGCTTTAAAAATAAATCCTTGGGGGGAGGGGGCACAGCTAGGTGGTGCAGTGAATAGAGCACCTGGAGTCAGGAGGATCTAAGTTCAAATTCCATCTCAGACCAGACACTTGACATTTACTAGCTGTGTGACCCTGGGCAAGTCACTTACCCCCAATTGCCTGAAAAAAACTAAGCCAAAAAAAAACCCCAAAACCTCCAAAACAAATCCTTGGTTGCTATAGTGATATTAACCAATAATTTGCTAATTGCATATACAAAATTTTTTTAACCAGTTTTGCAATAATAGATCTACTGGCCCTCCAGCTTAATGTTTCAATTTAATCTTATGCAATTAAAACATTTATCTTGCTAACAATCTTCTTACAGTTTACTCCCATTTGCATACTCCAAGATCTCACAACTTTGGCCGTCTGGCTATTCCTAACATGCCATACACCATCTCCTGACCGTACCTTATCACTGGCCGTCCCCCATCCCTGGAATGTTCTGCCTCCTCACTCCCCTCTTCAAGACTCAGCTCCAACCTCACCTTCTATAAGAGGCCTTTCTTTACCCACCTTGCCTGACCTTGCACCTTCTCTCTGAGATTCCCTTCAATTTAAACTGTATACATCTGTTATTTCCCCCATTAGAATGTGAGCTCCTTGAGTTCAGAGGCTGTTTTGGCCTCTCTTTGTATCCCCAATACTTAGTACAATATCTCCCACTTAGTAAACACTTAATAAATGCTCTTGACTCTTGGCCTATCATTTGCAAAGCAAAGTGTCAGGAGCTGGAGAATCTGGCAGATATAACACAGACCTAGTCTCAAACAATTTACAATCTAATGGCGCAGGGGAGCGCAACATGTCACCAAGTTAATACAAGAAAAAAAAAGTGTGACTGCAAAAGACAGGCCAGGGAAAGTGAGTCCTAGGAGAAAATTGAGTGAAAGGAGATCATATTCACCAGGAAACCAGAAACACAGATGTAGCACCTTTGGCAGAGCCCTATATAGAGGGCCTGCAATAGAGATGGGTTGAGTGATTCAGCCCAGGGATACAGGTTATTAGCAAGCAGTCAATGAAGCTAATGTATTCTTGGGCAGCATTAGGAAGGGTATGGCTCCCAGGAATAGAGAACATGTAATGCCACCACATTCGGCTTTATCTGACTTCATCTGGAGTAGTGTGTTCATTGCTGGGCACAATGGTTTAAAGAAGGATGTTGATAATCCAGATTTTACAGAGGAGGATGGTGAAAAGCCTTTAGTTCATGACATATGAAGAATCAGTTGCTGGAATTGGGCATCTGAAGACTTAAAAAAAGAAGACTCATGTTATCTGAAGGGCTATTATTTGGAGGAGAGATTAGGCTTGTTCTGTATAAACCCACAGAGCAGAAGCAGGAGAAATGGGTAGAGGTTTCAAAGACAGATTTAGGCAAGATGTCAGGAAAAGCTCCCTAACAATTATAGCTGCGCCAAAGCCTTGCCTTGAGAGGTGGTGGATTCTCGGTCCACGGCGATTTTTAAGCAGAGGCTGAAAGCCATTTTTGGTTATGTTATAGCGGAGATTCTTTCCTGCATGGGTTCGATTAACTGACTGCTGAGCTCTCTTCTCAATCTCAGATTCTGCGATTCTGTCATAGTGTGAATAAGAGCTAAGAGACAGGAGAGAGAAAGCCAAAAACAGGAGAAAGAAAGCAGCATACGCCTTTTCAGGGAGCACAAAGAGCATGTGAGTGAGACTAGTAGGAGATAAGGTTGCTTTTACCACTAATCATGGATATCCCCCAAAGATCTGTCCTGAGTTCCCTTCTTTTCTCCCTCTATACTATCTCACTTGGGAATCTTATCATCTTCCTAAGATCACATTATCAGCTCTATGAAAATGGCTCTCATATCTGTTTTGTTGTTCTTGAGTCATGTCAGACTCTTCGTGACCCCGCTTGGGGTTTTCTTGGCAAAGATACTGGAATGGTTTGCCATTTCCTTCTCTAGCTCATTTTACAGATGAGGAAACTGAGGCAAACAGTCACACAGCTAGTAAATGCCTACGGCCAGATTTGAACTCATGGAAGATGAGTCTTCCTTAATACAGGCAAGGTGCTCTATCCGCTGTGTCACCTAGCTGCCCTTTCTTTGTAAACACAGTGACCAGCATTACTTAGACATTTAATAAAATGCTTGATTGATTGAGATTGGAAAAATAGACTGGAGTCAGACTGCTGATGTTCTTAAATGCCAGAGTAAGTAGTTTATTCTCTACAATAGGTAAAGGGAAGCCACTGAAGGTAGAGGATAGATTTTCTTTCCTTAATTTAGCTGCAGAAGGTTATATTATGTTATGTTCATTGGAAGTACAAGAAAAGAAGAGGATCTATGTCAATCTAACCCTGTCTAGATATGGGCCTATAGTTGCAGAGATTTTTATTTTTACAAAGTTGACATTTAATCTGTTAAGAATTTTCTTAAGCTATTAGAAGACAACTAAAAGATTTAAAATGACTTATAGATATAGATGCTGTCCTCACTGGAACCTAATGTATTGTTTTAAAAAGAAATCATTGTAACATTGGGATGAGAATCACTTTTGATTAACAATAATTACAATTTTTTGATTAGATTTCTTATAAGATATAAAATTGAAAAACATCTCTGGGTTGAGCTGGGCCACACGTTTGGAGGTAGCTAAGTGGTGCAGCAGATAAGAGCTTTGGACCTGGAGTACAGAAGACCTGATTTCAAATCTGGTCTCAGACACTCACTAGTTGCGTGGTCCTGGGCAAGTCACTTAACTTTTGCATCAGAAGAAATGAAAGTAAAACAAATAGAAGAATTATTAGAGATTAAAAAGCTCTTCTAGAATGGAGGATTTGTAGTGAGGAAGAGTAAGGAAGAGTGAGAGAGAAGACTGAAAGATAGGCAGAGTAGCTGAGGGTCTCAAATGACAAAAGCAAGGAGTCTGAACTTTACCTAAACTGTGGATTTAAGTGTGAATAGCTCATCTTACTACATCGGAGTCTTCTTAAAACCATCTCCTTGGGGTTCATGTTACAAAACAATATTGAAGGTAGGGCACCTGCTCTAACAGGATCTTTCAACCCCTCTCAGAAATAAAGCCTCAGAGATGAACTGGCTCTATATTAAATTCCTATATCTGGTCTTATTAAGACTGAGCCTTCAGAGTTTTTGTAATTATTTCTTAAAGACAGAAGCTCTATCTTCTGGATGTTAGACAATACCTAGCTTAATGGTAAATAAAAACAATAACTGGAGTTAATTGTCAAGACAGAGGAAACAAAGGTATACCATTCATAAGAAACAAGATCAAAGATACTAAGAAAATTCTCCTATAACTAAGCTCTTAATTTTAGTAAATTAATCATATCATTTACTAAGTAAAATTTGCTCATAGGTCATACTGAAAGAGATTAAGAGAAGCCTGCAATAAATAACTTCAGTTGAATAGCTGAATAGCTGAATATTTCAGAGTCATATAATCTAGTTTCTCCTCTGTGCTGTAACATCATATACATATATTAAATGAGGCCTACCAGTCTGGCACCATATGCCAATCGGTGTATATTCCCCCAGTACACTGAGCACCACATTCAATGAGGTGGCCTGCAAGACTGCAAAACAAACAGAAACAATCTGTCATTAGCCATGATAAGCAAAACTTCTCAACATGCAACTAAAATAAAAATGGACCAACATGAAACTATATTTAAAAAAAAAATTAAAATGTACTATGTCTAAAAAAGTAGCTTTAGTTAGCTTACATAGATTGTCCACTTTTTGAAAGCCAGCTAATGTTTAAGTTTGACCATTCATTGAAGGAAGACCAACTGTATTAATTGAAGGAAGGCCAATATGGTAGAACGACCACTGGACTGGGAGTCAGGAGAAATGGAGGTTTGAACCTCATCTCTACCATTTACTAGCAGTGTGACCTTGGGCAAGTCCTTGAACCTAAGTTTTCTCACCTATAAAATGGAAATGGTAATATCTGTGGGGCCTACTTTCACCGAGTTATTATTAGGATTAAGTGAAGTAATATAAAGGTTTTTGTTAATATTTAAATGTTATACATATGTAAATAATTATTTTCTAGCACCTTTCCAATTATAGGTGCTTAATGAATGTTTTTTTTGTTGAACTGAATTCAAGATATTGGATACAGTGACATTATAATTTGACAAACCGTATTTGTCATTTCTACCGATATACTGTAGACTCAATGCTTTTATAAATTAATTAATAATTAATGCTTATTATTTCTAACAAATCCAGAGTAACACCAGAGAAGACATACTACTTTTCTAAAAACTGTGATTAAGATTGGTGTTTTATGTTTGTTTTTGTTTTGTTTTATTTTATTTTATTTTATTTTTGGTTTGGAGTTATGATTTTATCTTGTGTGGGGAATTCAATGTTGAAACTCCTTCCATTGAAGCAGATTAGCAATTTGTCTGAAATTCTCTGCCTTAGAAGTTGCCTTAGGACACTGAGAAGTGACTTGCCCATGATCACATCGATAGTACATGTCAAAGGCAAGACTTGAACCCAGATCTTTCTAGTGCCCAGGCCAGCCCACTATTCAACACCACAGTACAATCACTGTGACTTTTGTCTTGCCACTGTACTTTGATGACTCTGGAAGAGAGAGCAAAGCTGACGACTTTGTGCAACTCTGCCTCACGTAAGTCCAATTACCATGCAAGTCAAGACATCACCCCGTGACATTACTGGTCCTCTTCAAACTTAGGATGGACAACAAAAGATTTCACTTTATAGATTCACAATCTTTGAAATTTAGAGGGGGCTCTAAAATGTCATCTCAGGCAAGCTAACTTCTTCATTTTACAAACAAGGGAAAAGGAGACCAGGAGAGTTTAATCACTAAAGGTCACCCAGTGGCAGAGTTAACAGCACTTGACCAGGTCTCTTGATTACCAAGTCCATTAGTTTTTCCACTACTTCAGGCTTTCTCATTTCCACTATGCAATATTTGGCTAATTAATTTTCTCAGATTTAAAGAAAAGGTGAATTATTCAAAATACTTCGCTGCAAATTTCATTTTGAAGTGTCTTTAATAAAAAAAATCAGCATAGTCTACCAAATATTTTACATTTGAAAACAGTTTCACCAAACTATTGTTTTTGTGATAAAAAACAAGGAAAATAGTTAGTTAAATGAAAAGATTTACCTTCCAGCTGCTAGTAAGTCAAAGTCATTTCTATTCCAGCCAAACTATAAGGGAAAAAAATTAAAAGTAAAAACATAAAACTATTTTCAATTATATCAAGCCTTTTTGTAAACTGAATCACTACCTATATATGTTATTACTATGAAATTAAAATAACTAATCTACACAAATGAAAATAAAATTAAAGATTTCTGAAGTGACCAAAATCAAAGCTTTTCATAAACACTCATATAAATACAATGACCAAAAACTACTGGTACTAGGACAAGCCAACCATCCTTTGGATAATTCATGCAAGTTAGCAATATCAAATGACCTTTGAAATATTACACTTCACCTTTTCCAAGAACCATCCTTTAGCCCTCTTCTCCCGAATTACCAATAATTGTTCCAAATCAAATTACCCTACATTGACTTAATCTTCGTACAGAGTGTATCTCTACAAAAGAACACAAACTCTCTGAGGGCAGCAGTTGTATCATTTTTGTTTTTTGTGTCTCTATAACCTTGGATAGGGCTTTGCAAAAAGCAAATACTTAATAAATATTGAATTTTAATTGAAAAAAAATCATCTCTTAAGATCAAATAATCTACTAGAAAACGGGTCACTGCTTGATGTGACAGGAACAAAATATATAAAATAAAAATGGCAATCCTAAGGTATGAATTTTTTGTGATCTTAAAGTCATGACTTTTAAAAACAGCGAACGGAGGCATATGACTAACAAATACTATCTGATCAATTAGGATACATCAGTGTTTATATCATTACCTCTTTGTGGTAGGTTCTACTCCCGCCTACGGTGATTGGAACCTCCTTAAGACACTAGTGTCCTAGAGAACAACTGTAGCTGAAAGATCCATCACCCTGCAGCCATCTTGCTGATGAACCTCTCCAATAACTTGGGACAGGGCCTAGGACATCAGACCACCACTGGGCCCATGACTGACGCCTCTCTGGCATGGTAGAACCTGCCACAATTTAGGCTTCACTACCAGAGCCTTCAAGAAGCCAAGAACACTTCCATACCATGCAGAGGCATCAAAGGGTAAGAGTTCTATACTAGGTATGTAGTAGTGTATGCTAATAGTTTTTTTTATTAATTGAATTAAAACTAAAATAATATACAATCCAATTCAATCTAGTAAGCATTTATTAATCACCTACAAGTCTGAGACCCTGGGGATAAAAAAAAACAAAAATGAAAAATAATTTTTGCCCTGAAGGAGCTTAATATATATTGGCGAGAATAAGCATTTTTTATTTAAATTTTTTTAACATAGATAAATCCCTGGATTTGACTTCAAGAAGACTTAAATTCAAATCCTGTCTCAGACATACTAGCTCTGTGACCCTGGATAAGTCATTTAACCTCTGTCTCTTAGCTTTCATCATCTGTAAAATGGGAATAACATCACCAGGGTTGTTGTGAGGATCAAATGAAATAATATATGTAAAATATAATATATGTAAAGTGCTCTGCAAACCTTAAAGCACTATGTACACATTAGCTATTATTAATAATGTTATTGTAATTAAGAAGGGGAAACTATTTTAAATGTTCAACATTAGTAGGAAATTGTTTAAAAGGTTTTTTTTTTAAAAAAGCAAGTGTTCTTTTTTTTCTTTTTTAAAAAAGCAAGTGCTCTTAGCTAGACATTAACAATTAAAAAACAGGTTTTTAAAGAGCAGACATGTCAGCTAGAAACTATAAAGTTATACAAAAAAGAAATTTAGTTTTGTAAATTTTAAAACTGCATATATGCGAATACATGCATTCATACACACTTTAAAGCTTTTTTAGTATCAAGAAAATAATCCATACCTACCAGGTCATGTGCTTATTTAAAAAAAAAAGGGATACAAAATGTTTAAATTATAAAAAAAAAAACCCTTACATCCTATCATGAGTTTTCCTTTTGAAATCTGACTAACTTGAGAAATGTCAAGCTCAAATGAAACATTTAAAATATGAACTCACAGAAAGCAGATCAGCAGAGGGAAAACTCATGAACATTTCACTAATGAATCAAAAATGGTTAGCGCCACCCTGTGGTCAACCTCAAATGTGGGAAAAGTCTATACAAAAATGGAGAAAAGGTTAACTCACTGGTTTTCCTCATATATATTTAAAAATGACTTCATGCAAAAATGTTATTTAAAAATAAAAGAGCCTTATAACTTTTTTATTCAAGTCACTAATATTTAGCAAATGGCAGAGATAATTTCAAAAATGCATTTTGTTGTAATAGTTTCATTCAAGTTAGCCATAGAAAGTACACTTTTCTATAAATAACAGGTATGTACTATGGAAAAACTGCATATAAATAGGATCACATTTAACATACACTAAGAGCTTACTGTTTTAATACTTTATTTTCCTCCTAAAATTTGCTTGTGTAAATCCAAATGTTCACATAACAGGTCTGCTTAAAAACACAACTGTAGCCATAGTTTGTGAAAGAAATGACCTCAGATTTTAAAATTCTTTCCTTAAGCGTGTAGATTATATTGAAATCAAAGAATTGTAAATGATTAAAATAAAGGTGAACTGTATGAACTGAGGCAGAGGGAGGTAAGCAGGATCAGGAGAACAACATACCCAATGTCTGTTGTAAATTGATAATGTAACAATGCAAATTAAAACAACACTGGAAGGCAGCCAATTTTTGATTAATTATAATGACCAATCCCGGCCCCAGGAACAGCTGATGAAAAGTACCTCCATTCCTTTGGAAGAGACAGGAGAGACTACAGCCAGGGAGTGTTAGTATAGTCAAAGTTAGAGTGCACAATGCCAAAGGCATTGGTTACGGAGGCAGATTCTGTTACTTGCGCCCTGGGTAATCTCTTGCAAGTCACTTAACTATTTTTAGCCTCTATTTCCTCCTCTATAAAATGAAGAGGTAGGACTAGATGACCTTAAACGTCCTTAGCAGCTCCAAATTTATGATCCCATGACTTTTTGGCCTCCAAAGGAATGCTAATTTAACACCAGCCCGTACAGCAGTTGAAACAGGGACAACTGAAATCAACAACATATTGATTTCATGAGGGGGACCTCAAAGAAGTTGCCTAGAAAACTAGGAAAAAAGTGGACCATAAGTGTCCCTTTGGGATCCCTCTTCCTAGTATAATTTACTTGGAGCTGGAATCTGTGAGGCAGTGAGGCAGATTACTAACTGGTCACTTACTGTAGATACCAAGAGGAAAAAGCTATCTGATAGTTAGCATGACCATCCAGGTTCACACTACTGTATTAAACCCTAATCAAAGCTTTATTTGTAGGGTCCTCAGCTACTGCCCACGTGCAGCTATTGAGACCTCCTAGAGGCTCAAATACCCTAGCAATTATGGGGCCATTCTGGGAATTAACTATTTCTCTGAGATGAGATTATTTAAAAACTTTACTGGAACAGGTAAGAATAACAATACTTTGTGTTTCTGAATAGTTCTAATGCTATGGATTTAAAAGTAATTTATCTGTAAATATTCCCATTTGCTTTCTCTTCCCCTAAAGTCTCATCCAGTTTTTCACTGTGGGAATGGCCATGGCTATGGCTTCTCAGAGGTTATGCCAGAGGAACGCAAGCCCTGGTAGGTCCCACCAAGTTAGAAAGACTTTAAGTGTGGGCCTAGTGATGGATGGTGGGTCGCTCTTCTGAGGACCCGTCTATCTGTATTCAGAAGGTAATGGCAAGCTTGGATACAAGATAATATGTGTTTTTAGTCACAGTAATTCTTGAAGATAGTCTATGATGGAATAAAGGGGCCTATCCTCTGTGTCAGTGAAATGGGTACATACATACACCACTAAAATCACAGATCCTTTAAGTACGTTATTTTCCCAAAATTCCTGTGAGATCTGTTTGAGGATAAATGAGCAGTTCTTATGTGTGTTGTGGATCCCTTTGGTAGTCTAGTGAAGCTTATGGATCCTTTTTCAGAATGTTTTTAAATGTATATGTATATGATATATAAATGTATATGATGTATTTTAAATGTATATGATGTATTTTAAATGGATCATAAAGGAAATAAATTATATCGAAATAAAGATGAAACTTTTCCTCATCCAAGTTCATGGACCCCCTGAAATCTGTCAAGGACCCCAGGCTACTATAAAAAGCCAACAAGGTTCACTGAAACACCAGACACTTAAGAGTGAGAAGCTCTTGGTTTCAGTCCCACTTCAACATAATTACCATGATGGTGGTGGGCAAGTCACTCATATTCCCTGAAACACTATTTTCTCATAAGTAAGATGAGAATAATAATACTTGCACTACCCACTACCAATGGGCTGTTATTAAAAATGCACTCAATAAATCATATGTATTTGACAAGTTATTATTATTAACAATTAACAGTAACTAGCATTTATATAGTGCTTTCAGCTTTACAAAGCATTTTACATATGTTATCTCATTTGATCCTCACAACAACCCTGGGTGGAAATGCTGAGGAAACTGAGGCAGCCAGAGGGTAAGTAACTTGCCTGTGGCCATACTGCTAAGTAAGTGAATGGGATTGAAAATCACTTCCTTCCTCATTTTTTACTTACATACTTTAAAAAGTTCACCTTATCCTATTTATTCTGGTTTATTCACTATAGATTTCTGCTTTAAATATTTTAAGAAATTTAACAGACATTTAAAAAATTAAGATAGGTTTTATCCTATTTCAAAGACTTATCTCTTGCTGATGATGATGATCAATTTAACATCATCACTGTATTTTAACTCATTTCCTAAGAGCAAACAAACTTACAGAATGAATAAGTGGTCCCAGGACAAGAGCACTGTCCACACATCGGCCAGTCAAAACAATGTCAGCACCCAAGTCAAGGGCTCGGCTTATTGGTCTTGCTCTACGGGAAACAAGGGAAACTTGGATTGATTATTTTCATCAAGATTGATTTAAAGTTTCTATTTTTGAATGAATAAAACATCTCAGTATTTCATTTACCAGTGCCCCACATGATACTTAATAAATGTTTATTGAATTTGCTTTGCTGGATTGAATCTTGTTCACTGACATCCATATTTTGCATCATTCAATCTGTAAAATGATGCCAACAAAAAGATTTCCTGAATATCCTTTAAGTTAAGAAAACTCAGCATTTTCTCTAGAATTATATCTAAACAAACTTCTCACATTTATAAATTTTATTTCTGCAAATAAGGTACTCATTTTCCCCTTCTTTCTTTTTAAAGCTTTACTAAGGACTTTTTAAAATGCCAGTTATTTCCCAGCATTCATCCCTACACATTGAGCCCTTGTGAAAAAAAGAAAAAAAAAAGTTAAGCAAAAACAAGCATTTATTAAGCTCTTATTATATGTGAGGCACTGCATCCCAAACGAGGCCATTCCAGAGCTAAATATATCATTATCAGCATCAGCAAGCATACATTGAACATATGGGGTACTTACCAGTTACAAAGACACATGGTCCCTGCTTTCAAGGAGCTCATAATCTAGTTAGGGAATTAGGAAATATAGATAAAAAGAAAAAATGAAAGATAGTATATGCTAAGGGGTACACAAATGTGGCAGATAATAAATGCTTACAAGGGCTAAAAGGAGGGCTTCATCACCAAGGGCCAGAAGCTAAAGAAGCCCTCCCACCAGAGATGAAGCTTATGTTGAACCTAGAAAGAAGGGGAAGACTTACATAAGAGAGAAGAGCAGATGAACATCACTGACATTTCAGGCAAAAGGAATAGGGTAAGCAAAACTTTCTGAGGTGGGAATGCAAATAGGACGTTTGAGAAACAAGAAGTAGGTGACTTTAGCTGGAGATAAGGAAAGTAGAAGGAGATGGAAGAGATTAGGGCTAGACTGTGGAGGGCTATGAATGATGTAAGTCTAAGAAGTGTGGACTTGATCCTGTAGACTAGAAGCTTTTAAATTTTTGTATTACCCCTCTGTCAGTCTGGTAAAGCCTAATGGATACCTTCACAGAATGAGGTTTTAAAATGCTTAAAATAAAATACATAAGATTGCAAAGGAAATTTTGAAATACAGTTATCAATTTTTTTTTAAAGTTAATGGGCCCCATCAAGAATTGGATTTGAGGGGATGTCCATCAATTGAGGAAACATATGAACAAGTTGTAGTATATGATTGTAATGGAATATTATTTTGTACTATAAGAAATGATGACCAGGATGATTTCAGAAAAACTTTGAAAGATTTACAACTGATGCAAAGTGAAGTGAGCAGAACCAGGAGAACATTGTACACATTGTGCAATATTGTATGTTGATCAACTGTGAATTATTTAGCTGTTCTCAGCAATACAATGATCCAAGGCAATTTCAAAGGACGCCTGATGAAAAATGCTATCCATCCCTAGAGAAAGAACTGATGGAGTCTGAATGCAGACCAAAGCATACTATTTTTTGCTTTCTTTCTTTCGTTTTTTTTGGTTTGAGTTTTTCCCACAAAATGACCGATATGAAAATATGTTTCACATATTTGCACATGTATAACCTGTATCAGAATGATATAGGGGGAGGGGGGAAGAGAAGGCAGGGAAGATAGAATTTGGAACTCAAAATTTTAAAAAATGTTAAAAATTGTATTTATATGTAATTGATGAAAAATAAAGTATTATTTTTAAAAAGTTAATGGGCCCCACACCAAGAACTTTGCTATAGATTATGGGATACCTTTGAGCAAAAAGGATGCACAAGAGTCATATTCTGATTCTTGCCATGGCATGGAAGGCTATTTTAGTAAATTCTGATAGCTTATGTGAAATTTCAAATACAGTCCTAGTGAAAGGTTGCATCTGCTATCCAACAACTCTCCTACTTAAATAGGGAGAGGTTTATCACTGTAAAGTTTTCCACTCAGTGGGGAACTTTTCAGCCATGATCCCATTTCATGGGATGGATGGATTGTAGTGGAAAGAAACTGGATATATGGAAACATGCAATGGTCTGTGTGAGAAGGCTTGCTTAGGAGAATAGTAGTAATGGGGATAAAAGGGAAGAGACAAATTCAAGAAACATTACAGTTCTGACAAAGAAAGGACTAGCTGTCCAAACTTGAGTGCCCCCCTCCTCCATGAAACCCTGCCCCATCATCTCACCTAACTGAAAGTCATTTCTTTCTCCTTTCTTACAGTTCTTGTCACACTTTCCCTGGACCTCTTCTTTGTACTTATCATACTTTCCCTTTTATCATTTGTGTACAAGGTCTCCCTCCAAGTAAATTATAAGCCCCTTGAGAATAGGGTCTTTGTCATAGTTATCGGTGTATCCCCATATATCTATCATAGTAATGCCCATAATTCAATGAGGATTTATTAAATACTGTGCTAAGAGCTGGGGACACACAGGTAAAACCAAATAGTGCATGCCCTCCAGGAGCTTCCATTCACTCTGTCAAGGGAAAATAACACATACAAGATATGAAAAACCAAAATAATTACAAAGCAATTTGTGGAGAGGGGCACTAACGACTTGGGGAATTAGTCTTGTGTAGATGGCAGTACTTAAATTGGGTCTTAAAGGAAGCTACAGATTCCAAAAGGCAGAGGTGAGGAGGGATACAGTGCAGTCTATGCAAAGGCACAGAGGTGGAGAGATGGGGGAGTTGATATGGAAACAATAAATTCCTATATAGCCAGATTTTTAGGATCACAAATTACACTAAATGCTTGTTAAATTTAAATTACTTGGTGGCATAATGGAATGAGAGAGAAAAAGAGTCTGGGATGAATCTGAAGTAGATTGGTGGAGGGTACCACGAACAACAGAGTTTGGAAGAGCAACTAGGTATGAAAAAAAATGAGGAGTTCATTTTTAGACCTGTTAAGTTGAAATAATGAAAACCATGTGGAGGTGAGACCCAATAGAAAGATGGAGAGATCAAAGCTGAAGGTATAGATCTGGAAGTCAGACAAGGAGAATTGAAGCCATGAGAATGCAAGATCCCTCTAAGAGAGAGTATGTAAGATGAGTAGGAGATTGAGAATTGAGCCTAGTACAGATATTTCTTCTACTTATGCCCTCTTCCTCTTAAAACCAAACCAAACCTGTAAGGCAAAGCTTCACTTTACTGCAGACCACTGACTGCCAAAAGAAGAAATACAAGAGGGAAAGAAAAAACTCACCCAAGGTATACATTCATACTTTGAATGGTGTCAGGAAATGGCTTTCCATTCTCAATATCTGTAATCCCTGATCCTTTTAGGTTATCTTTCTGTTAAGAAATTCAAATATATGAATGTTTCACAAAATCTATTTACAAAGGTATTAATGACAATCAAACTCCATAAAAAGATGACTTGGTTATTGGCACATATTGTATTACAATAGTAATACAAATTATAAGATGTAGGTAGAATCCAATTCAATTTTTTTCTATCATATCATCAGGTTCACTAGAACACATTTATTTGTGTATTCTGGTCAAGAATATGTTCTTCATTTCCTTTGTTGATATGGTAACAATAAATTCCCATATAACCAGTTTTTTAGGATCACAAATCTGGAAGGGACCTCAGAGTTTACCTAGATAAGTCTTTCATTTTACAGATAAAGAAAGTGAGTCAGCCTAAGTGACAAGGCCAAAGTTGCACAGGTAGCAAGTATCAAAGGTAGGACTTGAACCCTGGTCCTTGAAACCCAGAACTAGTGTCCTTTCCACTGGACCATGCTGTCTCTTATCCGTAAGGCCTAAATCATTTAGTATTCAATCCAATCTAGCATTATGAAGGTATTTTAATAAAGTCTTTTTTTTTTTTCGGTCTAGCCCAGGGGTGGGGAACCTGCAGCCTCAAGGCCACGCGTGGCCCTCTAGGTCCTCAAATGCGACCCTTTGACAAAATTTTGTTCTGTGAAGTTTGGATTCAGTCAAAGGGATGCACTTGAGGACCTAGAGGGCCACATGTGGCCTTGAGGCTGCAGGTTCCCCACTCCTGGTCTAGTCTCAAGATTTTATTGGCTTAGGGAAATTCTGATGTGGATATTCCTTTTCCAAGAGGTAGTTCAACAATCTGTAACTTGGGTTTAAAGTTATCCAAGGCATCAAGAATTAAGTGAAATGTCTATGGCAACACAGCTAGTATGCCACAGAGGAAAGACCTGGACCCAGATCTTCCTGATCCCTGGCCAGCCAGCCCACTGTCCACCAAAGGCAATATGGCATAGTAGAGAAAGCACTGGAATTAGGGTTGGGAAAGCCTGGCCTTGATTCCTGCTACATCGACATAGTTGATGTATGGTCCTGGACAAGTCCCCTCTAAACTTCTCTTTCCTTATCTATAAGGTGAACATAATAGCAGTTACCTCCATGGGTTGTTGAGAGCATCAAATGAAACGATGTATGCAAATTAATTTATAAACCTTAAAGCACTATAAAAATATCAGTTGTTTTTAATGATCACTACACACCAACACCTAGTTTATGACTATTAATTAATATGTTTCAATAAGAATAATACAAGTTCACCATTGCTGATTCTCTGTGACCCCATTTGGGGTTTTCTTGGCAAAGACAATGGAGTGGTTTGCCATTTCCTTCTCCAGCTCATTTTACAGATGAGGAAACTGAGGCAAACAGGGCTAAGCGACTTGCCCAGGGTCACACAGCTGGTAAGTGTCTGAGGCCAGATTTGAACTCAGAAAGATGAGTCTTCCTGGTTCCACGTCCAGTGTTCTATCTACTGCACCACCTAGCTGCCCCTAAGTTTACAGCTACACAGCGCTTTACGGGTCATAAAGAACTTCCCTTATAGTCACCTTGTGAGGTGGATAGTTTCAGTCCATCTGATATCAATCAATTAAGAAGCACCTTTCTACTGTGTACCAGGCACTGTGATGCATGCTGGGAATGTGGTACAGCAGAAAGACTGATAGATTTAGTCTCTCTCTATATGGTAATGGGAGGAAGACAGTAGCAGATCTGAGGAAACCCAGAAAGATTTCACAGAGAAAGTGGTGCTTAAGCTGAATTTTGAAAGACACTAAGATTTCTAATTATAATAACTAGCATTTAAAGAGGGCTCCAACACTTTCACAACAACCCTGGAAGGTAGATGCTAATATTATCCTTGGTTTACAGATGAGGAAACTGAGGCTGACAGAGGGTAAGTGACTTGCCCAAGATCACACATGCAGTAAATGAAAGAGCCAGAATTTGAACCTCTAACCTCTGGATCTAAATCCAGGATTTGTTTGAACTCAGGTCTTCTGACAGCACATTCAGTGAGTGCTCTCTCTACCCACTATGCCACCTAGTGAGGTAAAGGGGGAGAACATCTTAGGCAGAGGAGACAGCTGCTGCAAAGGCATGGTGGGGAATGGGGGAGAGGGTTCTGCCGCAGGAGCAGTAAAACGACTAGACTGAAATATTACTATCCCTACTTTATTTTTTTATTTTTTTATTTTATGGCTAGGCAATGGGGTTAAGTGACTTGCCCAGGGTCACACAGTTAGTAAATGTTATGTGTCTGAGGTCACATTTGAACTCAGGTCCTCCTGAATCCAGGGCTGCTGCTCTATGCACTGCGCCACCTAGCTGCCCGCATTCCTACTTTAGATATAGGGAAAGTAAGGGTGAGAAAGGTTAAGTTTGCCCATGATCACACAGCTAGTAATTGCTTGACTGAAGATTTACACCCAGATTTCCTAACTCCCAAGTTCATTGAGCTGTCTTCAAATAGTATGTTGGAGACTTCCCTACCCCCAAGTCTGTTCTTTGGGAGTTGTTCATTTAGGGTTTTATTTTTGCCTAAGAGAAAACAAACTAGCTATAGAACGACTGCTGGTGCATCTGCACATATAATCAATCCCAAAGACCAATTCCATTGGAAACAAAAAAACAAATCTAGGAAAGACATCAAAGAGTATAAAGTTTCTTCAGAAGACCTAAAAGAGTCATAATTTTATCTCTGTAAATGATGCTTAAAGTTCTAGCTGAGAAAAGAATTAGGTTATTTTTGAATCATCTCTGTTTCTAGTTCAACAAGTCAAGTAAATAAGCTAACTGGTTGTTTATCCAAATATTTATGATGATTATGGATCATTATTGACCATTGACAATTAGTTTTAATTACTATTTGCATTTTCCAAGTTTGAAATTCCACAGGTCTTGAATTTCATTCCCGGAAGCTAAATTCAGTGAAAACAATGAAAACACCTCTTCATTAAAGTAATTCAACTAAAGTATAAATAAGAGGCAAATTCATGAATTTATTTTCTTCTTGCACTATAGAGAATCACTGGCACTAAAAATGATAACAGGATTAACAAGGCAGACAGTAGAGAGATATGTTGTGACCTCCTTGTCTCGTCACAAAAACACAGATTCAGCTCCATATTCAAGGAAGAATAGGAATAGAATTAAATCCTTTTAAACATTCTTCCTCTGAATGAGGAAAATTGAAGATTTGAAGTAGCTAGGTGGTACAGTGGATACAGCCCTGGAATTAGGAAGACATGGTTCAAATTTGACCTCAGACACTTCCTAGTGGGCATGTCACTTAAATCTCTGCTTGCCTCTGTTTCCTCATCTCTAAAATAGAGGTTATAATAGTACCTACTCCCAGAGTTGTTGTGGGGATCAAATGAGATAATACAAGTAAAGTGCTTTGCAAATCTTGCCATATTAATTCCCTATTAATGATGATGATGATGATGATGATAAAAAATGCCTTCATCAGGAAAAGAAAAAAATGTTTGATCACATGTGGTATTCTGTTGCAAATACATTTAAATCTGCTGTTGAATAATGGTGATATTGTTAAAAAAATTTTTATCTAGCACTGGGTATAAATGCATAATTAATACATCTAGCTCAGGGGACTCAATCCCAGATCTTCTAATTCTCAGATAACACTCTTAATTGTGTGATCGTAGACAAGTCACTTGTCCTTTTTGTTGCTCAGTTCCTCATTTGTCAAATGGAGATTATAATATTTGCACTATTGTCTCAAAAATTTATAAGGGAAAAAAACACTTGTAGACCTTAAAAGACTATATAAATATGAGTTACTGCCATTGTAGTAGTAGTAGTAGTAGTAGTACAATAACAATGACTCATATTTATATAGTCCCTTAAGGTCTATAAGTATTTTTTATAAACTTTTAAAGCAATAGGAGAATTTAACAGAAAAATAATTGAATAAAAAAAAGTTTAGCAACTTTTTGGATTTCAGTCTTCAGAATGTTTTTAAACACCAATAATTCCACTCAAGGAACACACATTTAGAAATAGAAATAACTTAGAAGTCATGTCAGGTACCCTATATATTTTATAGAAAAGGAAATAAAATCTCAGAGAGGTACATAGGATCATAGACTGAGACCAACCCTCCCCCCATCCCTCATTTAATAGATGAGGAGGCTGAAGACACAGAAAGTAAGGCCCAAAGGAATATGATTTTTTTGATCACTGAAACTTAAAAAGATGTCTTGGGATCTACGGGATAGATTTCTTTTTTATGGACCATGCCTTAAGTCAAAATCTCTCTGAGTCTCCTTGATTGGCCATCAATGGGGCCCAGCCCAAGCCTCACTTGGTCATAGTTTGAATTCTGATGGCTCAGAGTGAGTGTAAACAGCAATTGTTTTCATTTTGACCAGAAACCCTGAGGGTCTTTCCCTCCCAGATTGATTTTTTTTTTTTTAACCAGGTAAAAGAGACCATTCTTTGCCTCATTTTTTAACTAACCTTAATCACTGAATGGGCGCTACCTCAGACAAACTGAGACCTGGGAAAGAATGTAGCTTAAAAAGGCCAAGGCCTCCCCCTGCATATGGGGCCATTTCCAGGCATCCTGATCTGTATCTTGGTACTGGACCAAATGTCTCCGGAGGACACAGAGAGAGAGAGAGAGAGAGAGTGAGGCTGGTGACTTTGTGCAGCTCTGCCTCACTTAAATCCAAGTCATGAACAAATCATCATCCTTGTGATGTCATTGTTTCTCTTTGAGAATGAAGGTTGAACAACAACAACAGCAGCCTGATAGAGGAATCTGAATCCAGGTCCTCCCAACCCCAAGTCCAGCATCATATCCACCAGATCAATGACATGCCCAAGATCACATGGTAGTAAATGTCAGAGCCCAGTTTTGAGCCTCCTCCCTCTGTATCTAAATCCAGGATTTGTTCCCACTGCATTTCTCGGCCTCCAGTATAAACCAAAATAAGTTGAACTTCTTTGTGCCATAACTCCCACACGTTTCTTGTGTATATGCATATTTCATAAATTCTCCTACCTTGCCCATTATGTCATCCCCAGTGACAACTGCTATTTTCAAATCCACGTTAGCCTCCTTTGCCACCCTGTGAAGAGCCTTAGCACAAGCATGAGGATTGGTCCCACCAGCATTACTGATAACACGAATGCCTATAAAAGAAAACCAAGAATTCCTTTATTTAACTGTTATTACATGGTGGCTGATGAGTTTTCTCCCCCACATAATTTTTGCTATATTGTCCACCAGTGGCTTCATGTGTCTATGTCAGCTGATTAGCTTCCTGTGGCCTGAGATAGTTTACACGTTGTTCAGAGATCACAGTGACTGCCTCAGTGCAAGGCACATATAAGGACCTCAATAATTACTTGTTGATTGATGGTCTAAAAGATACTTCAAGGAAAAACAAGGAAAAACTAGCTCCTACAACTAGGAAATTATTAACCACAAAAAAGGAGAAAAGTAAAAAAAAAAACATAAGGAACATTTAACACTTTGTCAGCACCTTTTAGAAATTCTAATTTCCTGGGAAAATAAAAAAATTAAATTTTTTTTCCCCTCATGACTATTTTTTAAAGGCATAGAATAGTTCCTCCTAGTGGTGAAAAGTGATATTTTTTAAATAAGGACTCTTCACTGAAATGAATTCGGAAAATCACAAAATCTAAGCTGGAAGGGACTTAGAAGTCATCAGGTTCCAACTGAACCTGTACAGTAGCCCTCTCTCCAACAATGCATGGAAGAGGCAATGAAGCCTCTTCCTGAATTTCTATGGTGATGTGGAGTCCGACACTTTCCAAGGTGACCTACTCCACTTTTGGCCAGTTTGACTTCTTAGGAACCTTTTCTTTTTGTCAAGGCAAAATCTGCCTCTTATACACCTTCACAGAATCACAGAATTTCAGGATTAGTTTCAGCAACCTTAAAGCCCAACCACTGTAATCTTAAGAGAATACTCCCTACAACAATATCTGATAAGTGTGACCTCTAGCCTTTGACTGAAATCTTCCAATAAGGATGAGCTTCCACCGAATTTTTTTCTGACATAAAGCTGAAATTCATAGTTTTCATCTTCACCCATATTATGTAGAGACTTCACCCACAAACCCTGGGCATGTAGATTCCTACTTACTTTCTAGTCAGCTCACTCACTATAATTTCCTCTTAGGTCTGGGTTCCCAGATAGATCACCACCCCACACGTACACTACAATTGTCTCAGGGTGCTAGGGGTGACCTTTTTGAAGGGAAATAAATACATTTCCCTTACTCATCATTTTAGCTTTCAAGCCCACGCCAATGTTTTTCTATTTATACAAACCAACCATTTACAACTATGACACAGATATTAAACATGAACCATCCACTTAGTAATAAGTAAAAATAAATATATGTATATTAAAAGAAGTTCATGAATAATAAGATGTAGCACAATACACACATAAACCTGGATCATACTCTCCTATCAACAAACTCAAAATCTATGGAAGAGAGTAGGCACACACAAGAACCTGGGAGGGAAGCACACGCAGGAGGAAAACCCATATGCTCAGAGTAGTAAAAAACTCTGGAATTCAAGCACTTATGCCATCAGTCCATTCAGGAACATATTTGAATCCAATGGATTCTCAGCTAATGACTTGTCTGTTGGTCCTCACCATCTTCCAGGTGGGCAAATCTTTTTACATTTACGATGAGCATTTACAAATTCTTTCAACTTATAATCACCACAGGATATGGAGATGTTCAATCCGAACAGAGCTCCCAATGAACAGCTGGGACTCTCTGGAAAGGCAAAACCAGCCTAGTCAGCTCTTCTTATGCAACAAAACATCACTAATACCTGTCTTTCCTCTTTTTGCTTTGCCCTCTCAAACAAGAGGGAGCAAATTCACTTCTGAGAAGATTTACTTCTCTTAAAGCTTTAGGTGATGCTTAAGAGAAATAGCTGGAACTGTAATCTTCATTCAGCTAATCACAAACTGGCAGCCAAAGACTTCTCGGCTGACTGCTCTTGCAACTTGTTTTTTTCACCTTTCCTATTTCTTCCTCTCCCGCCATTCTTCAACTTTCAATCTCAGTCTCTTTTTCTAGCTTCTATATGTTTCAATGACATAAATCCTTCCTGGCTCTCAATCTTTCACTTCTATATTTCACAACTATGCCTCAGGGTAAAATTCTTAACCACATAAGGGAATAAAGGAATTGATAAGAGATTACAAGATCATTCAACTGCATAATATTTACAAGGTTTTGCATGAACAAAAGCAACGCTGCTAAAATAAAAAAAGAACTAGTCAATTGGAAGGTAAACTCTTTACATTAAATATTCAGTGATTCAATTCAATAAGCATTTATTAAGTTCCTACTGTGTGCTGGGCATTGGTTAGGTTTTAGGGATGAAAAGACAAAATTAAACATTACCTGCCCCCAAGGAGTTTACATTCTATGTGAAGAAACAACAGAAACATTGATAATTAAATAAAAAGTATACAAAGTAATTGTAAATTTCAATAATGAAATTTCAATGGGGGGTGGGTGGGAAAGGGAACTAGCAACTGGGGAACATCAAGAAAGTTTCCTGTAGGAGGCAACATTGAAGCTGAGATTTAAAGGAAGCTAGGGATTCCATTAAGTGGAAGTGAGGAGGGAATACATTCCAGGCATTGAGTATGGCCTGTGCGAAGTCATGCAAACATGAAAGGAAATGTTGTTTGTGGGTAGATGGAGAGACAGACCAATGACGGCCCAGTCCTTGAAGACAAACAGTATCCTCTGCATGCTGCCAATTCACACGAAGACATGGTGAGCTTTCCAGAGATGTAAAGTCTAAGGGCTTTTCCTTCTCTGATTCAGAGCATGTACTGGTATTACCTGTTTCCTGCTGACTTATTGTGTGGTGATGAAAAAAATTTTAACAGATTGCTGAGCCAGAACTGAGTGTGCATAAAAAGATATGAACAGATGAAATTTCTAGGAGCTCTAGGATCTCTCTTTCTACCTTGCCTCTAAGAATCTGCTGTTTCTTCTGTCTCTGTTGCATTTCTTCTTTCCTGTTATGTTCTTGTGAGGTTTAAAAGATCAGAAGAATCATCAGAAATCCAAAGCTAGAGTCCAGAATTGTCTACTGGTAACCAAACCAATCCATTCCAGTAAGAATACAGCCCTGAGGAGCACCTCCTTGATTTAGGCCCAACCCAGAGGCCAAGACATCATGTCCTACAAGCAATGGGGCAACTCATCATCCATTGGTTATGCCGCATTTATAATTAAATTTGGTTGGGAGAATGCTTTGTAGTTCAATATTCCCAAAGACTGAGGTGATACAGGAGAGTGTGCTCCCATTTTGAGAGATTTTTATACTTGATTCTTGCTATACTTTCTTGGTAAACATCCTTTTGTAAAAGTTAATTGATGTGAATTGATTAAATATTGGTGAAATGTTCATTACCAACTGATATCTGGGGAACACACCAATGGGGGATTGTGAGAGATAGTATTGGAGAACTTCTCCAGTTCCTCAAATTTACCCCTACAACCTTGAGTAAGTTAGTTATCCAAGTTCTGGGGACCTATCCTGCTAGTCTGAGTGGAATTAAGACAGTGAGTCCAGAGCCTAAACTATAGACGGAACTGCAAATCAGTCAATTTGACTGCAATGTACAGTAAAATGAATGAAATAAAGTGCAGTAAGCCTGGAAAGATAGATTGGAGCCAGATTGTAAGGAGTTTTAAAAACCAAACAGAAGAGTTTATATTTTATCCTAAAGGAAGCTTCCCAAATAGGGGAATGACATGGTAGAACAAATGCTTTGGGAACATCCACTTGGCGGCTATGCACCCTCTGCTATCACCAGAGGTATATAAAAAGGAAGCCAATCACCATAATTTCATTGGGGTGATTTCATATCTTGACTCTATATCTTTGAGCAGATGGGTCCCAGCTGGTGGAATGTCTTCCTCACCTCTACATACTCCTCAGAATTCTTCCTTCAAAGGACAGCTTAAATACCACCTCTTACCTAGTTCTCCCCACCCCTACGCCTTGATATCCAGATTTGTGTTCTCTTTCTCTCTGATCTCTTTATTCTCCATATACTTTAGATGTTGTATCTAATTTCCCAGACCCCTTTTCCCCATCCTTGAGGGCAAAAACCATTTTGATTTTGATTTGGTATCCTTAGAACCTAGTCCTGGTATATGCCTTGAACATAGTAAGGCACTTAATAAATGTTTCTTAAACTGAAACGGGAAACCCATATAAGCCAGTCAATCAACAAACATTTATTAAGCCTGCTGTGGGCCAAGGATTGTACTAAGAGCTGGGGATGCAAAGAAAGGCAAAAATATGCTCCCTGCCCTCAAGGAGTTCACATCGTAATGGTGAGAGAACAAGCCAACAATCACATAAAACAATTTATATATATTTAAAGTGCATGTGGGACTAGCAGTGGGAACAGAAGGTGAGATTTGATGTAAATCTTGAAGGAAGATGAGGATGCCTAGAGGCAGAGATGAGGAAGGAGAACATTGCAATTATGTAGGATGTCTAGTGAGAAGATACAGAGGCAGTGATATGTTTGAAGAAGAGAGAAGAGGCCAGTGGTACTGTGTCATAGAGCAAGTGGAAGAGAGCAAAGCACAAGAAGATTGGAAAGGTAGGAAGAGACCATGTTATAAATATCCAAATTAACTCAAAGGAACTAGGAAGGAAGACTCTATCTGCATCAGAGAAAGAACTGATAATAAATAGGAGTATGGATAGCATGATTTGTACACACACACACACACACACTCACCCACGTTTGTGTCTAATAGTCTAAGTCATCTATAGGGTGAGGGGGATGAGGGAAGAAAAAAAGGAAAAAAAGGTAAATTTACATGATAACTTTATTATGTACTTAAAAGGAATAATAAATTGTATAAATAGATCTGTGGTTTCATGTGCAATCATCTTTTTTTATTCTATGTTATGGAAATGCTTGTGTTATTTTACAAATTAAAAAGAAAATAAATAAAAATTTACTGATCAACAACAACAAAAGACAACCTAAAGATTTTGCATTTAATCCTGGAGGCAATAGGGAGCCACTATTGTTTTTTTGAGTTTTGTGTGTGTGTGTGTGTGCGTGTGTGTGTGTGTGTGTGTGTGTGTGTGTGTGTGTGAGATATGCTGCTTTAGGAAGATTAGTTTGACAGCTGGGCAGAGGATGGACTGAAGTTGGGAGACACCTGAGACAGATAAGCCAACCAGAAGGCTATTTCAATAGTCTTGGCATGAGGTGATGAGGGCCTGCACCAGAGTGGTGGCATGTGAGTGGAGATGTGATATGTATATGAGAGACGTTATGTAGATAGAAGCAAGACCACGCAATAGATTAGATATGTAGGGTGACTGTGAGTGAGTGAGGAGATGATGACTGCACAGGGGTTGTGAGCTTGAGTAATTTCGAGGATATGGTACTCTCATAAGCAATAAGGGAGTTTGGAAGAGGAGGCTTTGCGGGAGGAAAGATAATGAGCTCAGCTGTAGAAATGGTGAGTTTAGATGTCTACTGGCCATACAGTTCAAGATATCCAACAGGCAGCTGTTGATGCAAGACTAGATTTCAGGAAAGAGATTAGAGCTGATTAAACACGTCTTAGAATCATCTAAATATAGAGATGATAATTAAACCCATGGGAACTAATAAGACCACTAAGTGAGATTGTGCAGAGGACCAGGTCTGACTATCTTTCATATAAAAATCCCTTCCCAGAAACCAGCAGATTCCCCACCCCCAACACTCATATTGTCAGTTTCATGGCTTAATTAATAAATGCTTTTATTTATTCAGTCAGTCGGTCAACAAACATTTATTAAGTGCTGGCACTATGCTAAACTCTGAGAATACAAAGAGAGTCAAAAATAGACCCCGAAGAACTTGTATTCTAATGAGGAAAACAGCATGTAAATAACTAGGCTCACAGGAGACACATATAGAGAAAATGGAAGGCAATCTAAGAGGGCAAGGCACTGGCATCTGGGCTGACCAGTAAAGTCCTCCAGGAGAAGGTAGAATTTGAGCTGAGTGTTGAAGAAAGTGAGGGAAACTAGAAGGCAGAAGGGCAGGGATAGAATATTATTCCAGGCGTGTGGAAAGCAAATACAAAAGCACAGAGACAAGAGACAGAGGATCTGTCATGTTCAAGGCACTGAAAGTAGGCCAGTATAGCTAGATTTTTGCATGTATGGAGGGGAGTCAAGTGTAAGGAAGACTGGTAAGGTAAAAAGAAGTCAGGTCATTCATTCTTCTTTACCAGCTATGATTATTTTCCTCCCTATCTAGGCGCTATGTTCTATAAGTCCTTGTTGTTAGGCCTCGTGCCAACCTTTAACTGTACCCAAAGAATTATGGCCCAACACCTATTAATCACAACCAAGCAAGAAAAATAGCTAAACCAAGAGATTCTAGATTCAGAGAGGCAATGGACTTAACTGCCATACCTTATAAGCTGATAGGGTTGTAGGTCCAAGGAGAGGACCGGGCACCAGCATACAATATGCACTACTGAGTCAATACTATTCTATCAAGCCTTAGCCTTAAGTCCTGGAGAGGCATTCTGAAAGACAATGTTACCTACCCAGCTCTATTGTGATAGTGACATGGTAGAATGAGGAGAGGACATCCTTCTAACCTAAAAGAACACTGCCTTGTAAAAGAAAGGTGTTAGAGACAGACCATCACCTTAATCAGACCAGTCCAGTTTTCTCCTTCTTAGTCTATTCTCCCCCACCTCCTCTATGCTGACTCTCAAGCCTTGGAATCCCTGCCATAAGCTTCTTTTTAACCTTCTGTGGAATCTCTGGTTATCCTGTGACTTCTGACTTTGTCTAGCATGGCATCCTGTTTACTCTCTTGGATCAAGACTCAAATCATGCTCTCTTTCCCTAGGGAGGTTTCCCCTCCTCACAATGTCAGCCCTTTCCTCCCAAGAGGCAGTGGTTTCACAATTATATTGATTTGGATACAATGCTGTGAGTTGGCAGACTTTTTGTATATACAACACTATTCGTGCAAAGTCTGAATATGCTTGCTACATCTATACTACTAACAATAAGCCTTTAGAGATTAAGTGATGAAATTTACTTTCAGCTAAGGGTAAGATGGTAAAACTTTTGAAAATGTTTAATTCATATATTTATTGTTGTTTTTTGAAATATTATTGTCCCTTTCCAATGCTACTGCCAGGATACACCCATAAACCTATCCAATAGAACCCTCCCTTATGATAAAAGCTATAGAACCTTGAAATGAAAATGGAATTTCTTACAACTATACACTACTTTGCCAACAGAAAGTTTCCTAGGATGTCATAATTATAATATCTACCTTTCAACTATGAACACATCATGATGTCTGCTCTTACATGTGTGTAGGAGGAGCTAAGGGGAAGTTACCTTAACCTGTAGGTTACCCCTAGGGCCTACCATAGCAGGTGACAAGAAACATGCAAAAACCTCAAAGGAATTAAAAGCCACAATTCTTGTTCAGGCAGTCATCATCATCATCATCACTATCATCATCAATATTTACTTAGGGTCCAAAAGCTGTTAGAAACATTTTATAGTATTAAAAGGAAAAGAAACACTTTCATTAAGTATATTTACATGTATATACATATATGTCTAACTTCCAATTAATACTTGAAATGACATTAAAATGCTTAACACAATAAGGACTTTTGGATTACCTTTTTTATGAATATCTTTAATATATGGAGCCATTGCAGTCTGCACAAAATCAGGAACATAACCCAAGTCCTAAAATATGAAAGGATAGATTACTTACTTAAGAATTGTCTTATATGAAGACTTGTTATACAAATACAAACAATAGATTGACCCCTTTAAGCTAATTTGTAAGGCTGCTTTAAATATGAAATAAAAAGCACTGTCAGAAATCAACTACTTACAAACTGTGTATGTGAATCAACTTAAGTATCTGTTATTGCTAATATATTTCAGAAAATCAAGTCAACTTGGAAGAAGAAATCACCTGGAAAATAAGGATAATTGCCAAAACAAAAATTAAATATATTTCAGTTTCTTATCTCTATTAAAATACTTAAATCCAAAACTGTGACAAAAATAAAGATCCTATATCCACTCCCATCCCTAGGATTCTTGGCTAACTTTTAGCTAACAACATAAAGGTTTAAGCCAGATAAATTCAGTTAGTCAGTCGGTCAGCCAATGAACATTTATCAAGCAATTACTATGTGCCTGGCATTGTGCTAAGTGCAGAGGATATAAAGAAAAGGAAAAACACTTTCCCTCTCCAAACAGAGTTCACATTCTGATGAGGAAAAGTTTGTGTAAATTTCTATGTACATACAAGATACATACAGTATAAGGGAAAAGTTAGCTCAGAAAGGAGGCATTGCCAGAAGAGGAATCAGGAATGGGGACTGGAAAAGGTCTCTCTCCTGCAGAAGGTAAGACTTGTTCTAAGATTTGAAGGGAGTCAGGAAAGATAGGAGTCAGAGGTGAAGAAGGAAAACATTCCATGCATGGGAGACAGCCAATGCAGATGCTTGGAGTTGGAAGCTAGAGTGTCCTGAGTGAGGAACACAAGTGGGCCAGGGTATCTGAATAGTAAAGTGCATGGAGGGGAGTAAAGTGTAAGAAGCTGGAAATATAGAAAGGTGTCAGGTTGTGAGGGGCTTTAAATGCCAAACAGGATTTTGTATTTGATCCAAGTGATTACAGGGAGCTCTTAAAGTTTATCAAGGGTATGTATATGTGTGTGTGTGTGTGTTTGTGTGTGTAATGACATATACAGAAAAATTACTTTAGGAAAACCAATTAAAAGGCTACTATAGTAGTCCAAATGAGAGTTGATGAGGTACTAAGGTAATAGCTGGAGAGAAAGTGGATAGAAAGTACAGAAAAGGATGTATAAGACACGTGAAGGCAGAAATGACAAGATTTGACATTAGATTGGATATATGGGATGAATACAAGTGAGGAGTCAAGGATGACACCCATGTTGTAAGCCTGAGTGACTAGGAGGAGAATGATTTACTCAACAGTAACAGGAAGGTTGGGAAGAGAGGAAGAGTTGGAGAGACAATGAGTTCTTTTTCGGACTGTTGAATTACAGATGCCTACAGAATATTCAATTTGAGATGTCCAGAATACACCTGGTAATGGAGGACTAGCACTCAGAAGAGAGATTAGGACTGGATCTATAGCTCTGTACAGAGATGGTAGTTGAATCCATAGAAGCTGATGAAAGAGGATGAAAGATAGGATACAAAGATATTTAAAATGCTGATTTAACTTTATGTCATAGATAATTTCCTGGACAAATTGATTTTAGATCATATAATCTTTTTTTTTCTTTTTTAAAATTTATTTATTTATTTTTAGTTTTTAACATTCACCTCTATAAGATTTTGAGTTCTAAATTTTCTCTCTCTTCTTCCCCACCCCCTTCCCCAAGATGGCATGCAATATGATATAGGCTCTATATATACATTTATATTAAACATATTTTCACATTAGTCACGTAGTAGAGAAGAATTAGAAACAACAGGAGGAACCATGAGAAAGAAGAAACAAAACAAAACAACAAAAAAGAAAGCAAATAGTATGCTTTGATCTGCAGTCAGACTCTGTAGTTCTTTCTCTGGATGTGGATAGCATTTTCCATCATGAGTCTTTTGGAGTTGTCTTAGATTCTTGCATTGCTGAGAAGAGCTAAGTCTATCAAAGTTAGTCATTGTGCATTCTGGCTATTGCTGTGTACAATGTTCTCCTGATTCTTCTCACTTCACTCAGCATCAGTTCATATAAGTCTTTCCAGGTTTTTCTGAAGTCTGCCTGCTCATCATTTCTTATAACACAATACTCTTCAATTACATTTATATACACAACTTGTTCAGTCATTTCTCAAATGATAGGCATCCCCTCAATTTCCAATTCTTGGCCACCATATGCTATAAATTTTTTTGTACATGTGGGCCCTTTTCCCATTTTTATGATCTCTTTGGGATATAGATCTAGAAGTGGTGTTGCTGGGCCAAAGGGTATGCACAGTTTTACAGTCCTTTGGGCAGAGTTCCAAATTGCTCTGCAGAATGGTTGGATCAGGTTCACAACTCCACCAATAATGCATTAGTGTTCCAATTTTCCCACATTTTCTCCAACATTTATCATTTTCCTGTTTTGTCATGTTGTCCAGTCTAATAGGTGTGTGTGTGGTACCTCAGAGTTATTTTGATTTGCATTTCTCTAATCAATAGTGTAAATCATATAATCTTTAGGACTCCTATTGAAAGGATTCCTACAGTTAGTGAATTCCCCTGTAAAGTCAATAACTACCCCTTAATTAATCTGCTTCATAATATGAAGCGAATATGGATGTCTGATTATTGGCCTGTCTTAAAGCAAGGATCGTATTTCCCATTTCCGCCTTAAATGTTCTCGTATTTGTCAGCCTTTGCAGTACTTTGGATGGTTATGAACTGAATTAGAGTAATAATTAACTTACTGATGATTTGGCCTTTGCAGTAGTTAGCAGACACATAGTTATCTCTGAGAGATAGTCAAAAACCAAAAAATCCAGCTTTCCCTTATACAGCAGCTGAGGTACTAAAAGAAGAAGAAGAAGTTTAATTTATAAAAACATTTATGATTAACATAAATTAACATAATTTAACACAATATAACTTAAACATTTATACATCAACAAAAATTCACAGGGTCACACAGCTAAGAAGCAGCTAAGGCTGGATTGAACTCATGTCTTCCTGTCTCCAGGTCTAGCCCTCTCGTTTACTGATCCACCAAGCTACCTTTTAAGATTTAAATTATTTTTAAAAATTATTTACTAGGCATTTGCAAAGAGCAGAGAGCTGTGTTATATGCTAATGAGGAAACAAAATCTTTGCCCTCACAGAACTTCCATTTTATTAGGTTTTGTCACATACACAAATAACTGCCAAATGATACATGAAAAGGGCTGAGAGGTGGTGCAAAAGTTCTGTACGAGGTCTGTGGACAGAACGGTTATCTCCATTATCAACTGGAGAAGGATAAAAAAAAGACTTTACATAGGAACCTTATGGCATGTACAGGATTTCAACAGGCACAAAGTTAATATAGATTTCATCCAAATTGCAAATATGTATCACTGAGATTTTAATTGTATTTATATGATATGACTACAAACGTTGGCTACTTGAGGATGAATAGTTTCAAATATTTATACTTCCCAAGTCAACCACACAGTACAATGAGACTTTGTTATTGTACTCTTTGATATTTTGTATTTGGAGCACTGTAGTTTTCCAGCATTAAGCCAATAAAATTTAATCAAGATGCTGGAATGACAAGCAAATGGTAGTTCTGGGAGTGAACAGAAGGCTAAATGGGGAGGGATATTTACTATTATTGCGATTGCAGTTGGGGCGATCAGTTGAGGCTTCCTGCCCCCCATCTTTCCTCCTCCCCTCTCCCACCACCATTTGCCCTGGCTACAGCACCACTGTGGGGCATAAATGCAGCAGAACAGAGCTACCTGGCGGCTACAGGGATACGTTGACAGTACTGGAAGGACTCGTGCTGTGAGATGACCAAGCAATCTCCTTATTGACCATTAAGCAGGGAGAGAAGCCCACTTAGTAGATTTTAAAGGGAGAGATAGCTTCCACTCTTTATCCCTTCTTCCTTTTTAAAAAAAATAATATTTTATTTTATCTTTAATTGCATATAAAAATTTTTAACATTTGTTGTTTTTTTAGTTTTTAGTTCCAAATTCTATCCCTCCCTTCCTCCCCTTCTTCCTTCCTGAAACATTAGTCATTTTGTACAAGAAGCCTCAAACAAAAAGAAAGGAAGGAAGGAAGGAAGGAATGAAAGAAGAGAAAAATAGTATGCTTCAGTCTGTATTCAGACAAAATCAGTTCTTTCTCTGAAGGCAGATAGCATTTTTCATCATGAATCCTTTGGGATTGTCTTGGATGATTGTATTGCTGAGAATAGCTAAGTCATTCACAGTTCTTCATCATACAATATTGTTGTTACTGTGTACAACATTCTCCTGGTTCTGCTTACTTCACTTTGTATCAGTTCATGTAAGTCTTTCTAGGTTTTTCTGAAATCATCCTGCTTGTTATTGCTTATAGCATAATAATATTTCATTACAATCATTTACCACAACTTGTTCAGCCATTCCCAATTGATGGGCATTCCCTCAATTTCCAATTCTTAGCCACCACAAAAAAGAGCTGTTATAAATATTTTGTACAAACAGGTTCCACACACATTTAAAAAAAATCTTTGGAATACTGACCTAGTAGTAGTATTGCTAGATCAAAGGGTATGCACAGTTTTATAGCATTTTGGGCATCGTTCCAAATTGCTCTCCAGAATGGTTGGATTAGTGTACAACTCTACCAGCAGTGCATTAATGTCCCAGTTTTCCCACAACCCTCCAACATTTATCATTTTCCTTTTATGTCACTTTAGCCAATCTGGTAGCTATGAGGTAGCACCTCAAAGTTGTTTTAATTTGCATTTCTTTCATCAATAGTGATCTAGAGCATTTTTTGATCCCTTCTTCCTCTCTCTACAGAGTGTATAGGGCCTCTGAGGCTCTGTCTTGGACTTCCCCTGAGAGGCAGAGCGTTTCCTCTTTCCTCTAACCCTGAAATCTATGGCAACTTCTTGTAAATGGCAGCTAGAGTATGTGCCATCTAGAAAAGCCTGACCCTGAGCATGGGACTTGGGCCCCTGGGTAACTCTTCTACTTTGGGTTTCTTTCCTTAAGCACAGATGACGAAATATCGAGCACGAGAGAAATGTTTCAGGGAGTTCTAGGGTTTGTTAATTGGTGCCAGCTGTACTGCAGGTTACAATACAGTTACAAGAACGCTTCTTATAGGAAAAGATGACTTCTGACAGGAAGACGAGCTCAAGCCTTGGCTTGGCTTGCCAGAAGACACAGGCCTTGAGGGAGACATGTAGGTAGTCAAGAGCAAAGGTCAGGTGCCTACTCAAGAGTCCCACTAAGCATTCCATTTTAATTATCAACCCTCTGGGAAAATGTAATGTGAGCTATGGGTTACCTATCATGTTTTTACTCTTTGTCAATTTACACTTTTGAGTCTTCTATACTCTAAGCTTTTGTTTGGAGGAAATAAGTAGCTATCTTAAACCTGATCTAATAATGCATAATGAGAACCCTTCTGGGAAGGCTTCAAATCCCTTTTGGGGAGACTCTAGACATGAACCAAACATCATCATTATCATCATCATTCAAATAGCTCTTTAAGGTTTTCTAAGCTCTTTACTAATATTTCATTTAATCCTTGCAAGAACCCAGCAAAGTGCTGTTACTATCTCCATGTTACAGATGAGGAAACTAAGGCAGACAGAGATTATGTGACTTGCCCAGGGTTACATAGCTAAGAACTGTCTGAGGCTGGATTTGACCTCAGGTCTTCCTGACTCCAGGTCCATTACTCTCATCCACTAAGCCACCTAGCTGCCTTTTAAAATTTAAATTATTTTTACTAGGATTCAGGGGGCAGGGCATAAAGATCTAGAGACAATGAGAAAAAGAGCCTGGCCCCTTTGTTTAAAGGCCAGGGTCCCACAGATCTGAACCCAACGTCAGAGCTGGTGCCTTTTAGTGGGAGAAGGCACCTCAATCCCATCCCCACCCCAGACATAACAAGTCTGTATAATATTTATGAATTTCCCTGTTCGCAGGATCATAAAAATAGATTCTCTGAGGAGGCAATGCCTCTAAAAATTCAAATTTTATGGTACCAATATATCATACATTACTAACTCACGGGCTATGTATTTTCCTTACTGTTTCATTCAATTCAATTCAATAGATTTATTAAGCATCTACTACTGCGCCAGGCACTTAGTTTACAAAGACAAAACCCAAAATAATCCCTGCCCTCAAGGAGTTACATATGCCATTGTTAAGGATAAAACATACACACAAGTAAATAAGTGCACAATATACACCAAGGAAGACAAAGTGGTTTCATGACAGAGATTAAGCTACCAAGTGGAGGACCAGCCCTGTGGAGGAGATGGCACCTGAGCAGGGCTTGGAGGGTAGAAGTGAGGAGTATACAGGTTCCATGTATGTTCCAATACAAAAGCATGTGGGTGGGAGAACAAAGTCACATATGGTGAAGATGGCAGTAAAACAGTTCAATTGGAAAGTGGATTGCTACTATAGCTACAGATATACTGCTTCCCATACACTTAATTGTTGAATATAATAACTTGATGGAGTAAGAGGGTAGGGAGAACAAACATCCCTCACAAAGTTTCCAATTTGGCTTCTTTTTCTCAATCTGAAGTAACTGGTTTTCTTCTACTCAAAATTTATAAAAAAAAATGCATTCAACAGCAACTCCCAAAATACAAAGTCTGAAACAGGCTTTTTTTTTTTAAAAGATTACACCCCACCCCCTGCAAAATTGTCATGAGATTAGTTTCAAAATAGGTCCCCTTAATTTCTCCTTCATCTCATCATTAATGCAATACTGAATTTGTTTTTTATATATTTTGATAGTAAACTGGCTAAATTTTTTGGAGGGGCAATTGGGTCACAGGGTCACAAATCTAGTAAGTGTCAAGTGTCCGGTCTGAGGCCAGATTTGAACTCAGGTCCTCCTGACTCCAGGGCTGGTGTTCTATTCACTGCACCACCTAGCAGCACCTAGATTTCTTAAGCTATAACATTTTAATTAGCTTTAAATATATTTTAAAATGATAGAAAAATCCAGTACCTATTATAAATGTTTTGCTTATATTTATTCCAAAGGTTAAAAAAACTAGATATCCATTACATATCAAAGTTTTCTGTAAAAATAGATGATCAAATACAGAGTTCATTGTATTCTATTAATACTGAAACAATTTTCACATGATTTTCTTTTTTCCAGCATGAATTTCAATTTAGTACAACGGCAACTGGGGACTCTACCAACAAAAACACATGAACATAACTTGGTTTATCTATCAAATAACATCACGAACAACCAAAATATATGGAGAAAAATCCTGTTTTAAATTTAAACATAGGATTTTATGGGTAGATAAATATGTGGTCCTTTCTCCAGGAGATTTAGGAATGTTAGGACAGCTGGCACTCAGCTATGATTTCACATTAGTAAACTTTGTCCACCAGCCTCTAATAAAAGCAATCCCACAAGCTGCACTGAGAACAAAAACTTTTCATCTGAGATATAAAGAGAGGACAATTTTAATTTGGGATTTCATGCTGATATGGTTAATCAAATGTGCCAACTAAGTGGAACCTTAGCTCTTAGACCCACAAACTCAGGAAGGGTACAAGGAGTGGATCTGTCAAAGATCATGGGAATAGTGAGGAAATGCATGCAAACAGGAGAGAGGAGACAAGTGAACATCAGAAAAATCAGAACAAAGCCAACTTTGTTGCTGATGAATCATTTAAATGTTCACCATGTGCTGATCCCTACCAGAGGCAATTCAAAAACAAAGAGGTTTAAACTGTACTGCTAGTTAAGGAGGATATTCTTGTATTTTTAAGTGTATCAAATTATAAAAGATTTTTATCTTTTCTTCTACAGAATGTT